CTTTTTTTGACCAAGTGGGCCAAAATGGCCCGACCAGATTTTGACCCAGGACAATCCCTGCTAACAGACAAGCATTTTTCCAAGAGTGAAAATCTAAAAAACGTTACAAAAGTTGGAAGCTCCACTTCACTATGACTTATGTTTTAATTTAAGTCAAAAATTGGAATAAAATTTACAAAGGATACATGATCTTGTGTTAAAAGATTAGAAATTAAGATAGGCAACCCAGATGTAAAAAGGATAAAACTTAAATGCCAGAAAGCAACCAAAATGAAAGACGTTTAAACTTAAACCTTTAAACATCCTATTACATCTGGCCTGAAAATTAAAAAGCAACGATTTAAAATGCCAGACAATAATATTCATCAAAAATGAAGTGAAAATATACAGCTTGATTATTTTGTTGTGGGCCGGTAAAAAAAGGTGTGGGCTGACAAAATTTAATTTGCTCCAGCCCACATGTCTGGTAAGTTTTCAATCTCTTTCGCAATCACTGTCCTCCTCTTGCAAAAACTTGACATGTGGAAATACGCTCAATAAACATTTTTTATCCCAGCTTCCTTGACTCTAATGACCATGCTTTTTGGTCTGAGAATTAACAATTCAGAATTCTTTATCACCTTTTCTTCAGTTTGATCTTAAGCCTTTAGCTTCTTTAGTAGGTCTCTTTCTTGTAATGTTCCACTCATAATTCTTGCACATTGCTTTTAGCAAGCAGATCCTATGCCAAAGTCTCAACCAACACACTCAGATTCATTTGCTGCCCTGTTTGGTACACCAATCACCACAGACTCTATCAGTGCCAAGAAAAAGTCAGATAGTAAAGTAAGACATTTCAAGAATTATTTATTTATTTATTTATTTATTATTATTATTATTATTATTATTTTTATTATTATTATTTTGAGGCAGGGATGTGGGGTGAGAAATTCACATAAAGGGCTTTATCAGATAGTTATTTTAAAACAAGATCCAAATCTCACTGCTCAGGTTTGCAAAGTTAACACTTAGATATTCAGAGTGTAGTTGGAAAAATGTATTTCACTTACTATGGAACATAAAGTAAGTGATAATCTTCACTAAAATGTTACTAAATATAAAACTTTGGAACCATACACAATCTAAAAGAGAATATATTAAACAAATAACTTGTTTTAAAATTTCTAAATTCTCATGAAGAGAACATTTCAGATCCACAACGTTATGTTAGATGGATGTGATGTAGGGAATAATTTTACTTTTTACTCATTCTGTTTACAACAGGACAGATCAACCACTCCTTCTAAAAACCAAACTACCAACAACAGAGAACCAGACCCTTCCAAAGATAAAAGGAAGAGTAACTCAGAAGTTAAAGAAGAGAAAACTGCAGTGAAACGTCCTGTCAGCTCTACTCCTGAAGATCAAAATGATCCAAAAAAGAAAAAGAAAGAAGAGAAAGGAAAGGAAAAAAGTAGAGAGAAAAGCAAACCAAAGTTTGACAAGAAAAAGGGAGAAGAGAAGATTAAAGAAAAAAAGAAAAAAGAAAAGACAAAAGACAAAAAAGAAAAGGATAAACATGCAGAAAAACAAAACACAAAACACGATGGTGCTAAGCATTCTAGCAGAGAGAGGCCTGAACATTCCACTCCTAAGAAACAAGAGGACTCTCCTTCAGTAAAGTCTACTCTGAGCAGGAGTTCCAGCTCCAGCTCTCTCTCCCTGAGCTCCACTGTGAACAGTTTAAGCAGTGGTAGTAATGTTATCTCAGCAGTAACAAGACTAACAGCTGAACAAATAGAAAAGGAGGAGGAGGAAGAAGAAAGAGCTGTAAATGACCTCCTATCAGACTCAGCTTCTTCCCTTTCATCTTCAGAATTATTTGATAGTCAGAAAAAGTTTTCAAGTCCTTCACCAAGTATTGAACAAAAAAGTAGCAAAGAAGAATCAAAGGAGCAGAAAGGAAAAGATAAGGAAAAGGTTGATAAAAAGGAAAAGAAAAAGAAGAAAGAAAAAGATAAGAGGAAAGACAAAGAGAAGAAAAAAGACAAAGAAAAACAGAAAGAAGGAAGAAAAGAGAAAAAGAAGAGTAAAAAGGACAAGAAGCAGATGGTGCAGGAACTTGAAAGTTTAAAGCATGAAAAGGTACCAACACATGAAAGAGAAAAATGTATGAAAAGTGAATCGGATATGGAAAACCACGAAGACACCAAAGTATGTGATCCCTCAAACACTGTGTGTGAAAATGGGAAGTCACCTGCCAATGGAGAGAACCTGGCAAGTTTGTTGGAATTAAGAACAAAACTTGAGAACATGGATAATCTTGAAGTATTTGAAAAGGTGGTGAATCTCATAGAAGAAACTCATCAGTATGAAATAACCAATAATTTTATGGATTTTGACTTGTGTGCCATGGACAAAGTGACTGTTGACAAACTAAGACAGTATGTGGCAGAATTGCAATAATTTCTTTTTCAGTTTTTAAATCAGGGAAATAATCTATTCAGAGCTTTTTTACACAACTTCTATACTTACTTATTAATGTGGTGCTAGTCAGTTATATATAAAAGCCATATATAACAGAGGCATTGTTATTTATATTATGGATAATTTTACTGATAAGTAGAATTTTTTTCTGGTCTAAAATCCATATACCAGCTGGATAAAAAACATCTTCAAATTTTAATTTCTCTTAACCATAATCAAAATTTACTACTTCATGGCATTGTTTATTGCTTGTCAAAGTTAAATGCAGATCTTTTTTTTATGTCTGTTTGGCATTAAAAAGGTGAAATTCAAAAACATGATGGTGTAATTTAATGTTTTGCAGTTTCTATGCCTTCACATATAAACCAAGAGATAGATTAGGGAGTATGTTTTTGTCAGGCCAGGGCAACCTCTCATACCCTTAGGCCACATAGGGACATTTTGAATTATTATTGTTATATTTTTATTTTTAATTAATTCATTTGTTATTATTATTTATTTATTTTATTATTATTATTATTATTTTTTTTTTANTGATCATTTCAACATCTTTCCCTTAAGTATACTTTATGTACCCTAGGTTCTAGATTTCAGTTTTGCCAGCTCGATCTTGATTTCATATATAACCCGTATCAGCAAAACTGACTCTAGCCACTACTGTCAAAAGGCGGGTGTGTTCAGCAAAATTTTGCCTGGGACACTTCCATATTTGGAAGTCACAAGTCTCGTACGTCACAGTTGTATCCACCTTGAGCTCCATATTTGGAAATCACAAGTCTTGTATGTCAGAGCAGTGTACCACCTGGAGCTGCCTTTCCTCACGTTATCTCGTGCAGACAAGACAAGAAGCAAAGTGGCTGATGTGGAGTTTGAAGTTTGAACTTAGAATATCTTGCAATCGAAGGTCAGCGCCACAACACAAGCAACTTTCTGCTTTAAAAACTGATTTTTGGTGTAGCCATTGCGCAGTCCTTTTAGTGGTATTGGACATGCCATGTAGCTGTCAAACTTGGCACACTGTATATCTCCAGGAGCAAAGGATTTTGATAAGCAAAAAAATACAAAAACATTGGATATATATATTTTCTTTTAAAATACATTATTTATTTTTCAATTTACATCTGAAATCCAGTAAGGCCACACTTTTTTATTTTTATGGATGACATCCTCTGGGGACCCTGAAATCGATGCGAGAGGGCGAAAAAAAAAAAAAAAAGTCCAAAAAAAAAAAAAATACTGCTTAAGTAAAGGAATGCTCTCAGTACACAGCTGGAAACAAATTTACCACAGAAACACGTATCAAACTAACAATATATCTTTATCCATGCTCTCAAAATATTAAAGCATTGCAAATACTTCGTAGAAAGTCATGAATAGATATGCTGCACATTACCAAATCTACTCGTATTTAAGGTTATTTCATGCATTTTGTTGGTATATCAATCAAAGAAACAAATATCAAACAAAAAGTGTGTCTTTATTTGTACTCTCAGAATATTTAAGCATTATGAACACTTCACAGAAATGTTAAAAAATGATGCAAAGATATGCTTAGGGCCTAATACTACCAAATCTATAAAAGGTCATTTCGGTCAATGCCATTTGGTCTACTTTGATTCACACGAAGCAGCCAAACTGTTGGGTGGCCTGACCGACCTTCAGCCCACCAAATACCTCAACGCCCTTGTTGACCCTTTTTTCGCTACAAAAAAACCTGGTATATGCTCCTTTGGACAGAATGACAAAGAAATTTTCCGGGCGATAATCGTCAGCCTTTTGCATAATTGTAAAAAGGTGATATCTCCATGCCCAATGTCAATGGCATAACAATCCAAAACGAAGGCCCCATTCTCTTTATGACTTTAATAGTCGTGTAATTTGAAAGTAATCCTAGAGATGAATTTGACAGCAAAGCAGCTATATTTCCATGTGGCGATAATACGCATGCACAGAGAGCTCATTTTCCAGCAAATTCAATAACAACGTTTGCGACAACTGACTTCGTTGGGGGGGCGGGGGGGGGGGGGGGATTTTTTTTTTTTTTTTGAGAACAGACGAAAATCAGTGCACGCGCAGGATGTCATCCATAAAAATAAAAAAAGCGTGGCCTAAATGAAATTAAATATAGCAGAATTAAATCTGTTTTACGTTCCATTTTGGTCTAATGACATTCAACTGCAGATTCACTGTGGAGCAGTTCTTTTTGATTGACGGAAATTGAACATTGTCGCTGTTCCTCAGGGCCAGTTAAGCGATCCCATGACAAGGTATGAATAGTTAACAAGCTAGCTTTACTGTGCCTTGACACTCAGGGTAACTTTATGAAGAATATATTGGAAATGTTTGAAAGCTTGGTGGTAAAATTTTGGGTGCAAAAAATGAAAGAAAAAATAATGAAAAATCTTCATATTCATACCATGGGGTTTGGACTCCCATGAAGAAAAGGCCCTGTTTTATAAGTTTGGTGGTGAAAATTGATAATTTTTGAAACAAGTATTCATCTTACTACCTGTAGGATTTGGACTCCCATAGCCTTTGGGTTGAAAAATACACATTTTTAATTTTCTCATTTTCTCATGAAAATTTTCAAAAAGGCAATGTATACTCCATTATGCATACTACATAAAATTTATATACTCAAATAAAATAAGATTTATAAAATTTTGTGAGGGATAGTCAAAATTTCATGGAGGGGGTGAGAGTCAGATTTTCATTATTAAATTTTGACTGGGAAAGTAATTTTGTTATGAGAGTCAGATTTTCATGTTACACCGTTTTCAGTAACCCCTTGTGGGTTAATTTTCCCTTTGCAGGAAGAAAATTTTAATAATGATAACTATTTTTCAAGGTGATTGTGCAACAGTCAAACCTGTTTAACTTAATGCTTTGCTATCTCACAGTATGTTTAATTATGATTTCTAACTGTTACAGTAGAGTGCTTGCTCTGTTGTTAATAAGCTTAAAAACAGTGTGCCTCACACATTGGAATCTTACTAAAAGGCTTCTTCTCACTTATTATCCTATCTGTTACCTACCCATTTTCAAAATGGGATTTTGAGCTAAATAATGAAAATAAGCTAACCAAGTGTAGATGATATATACTGCACAAATATTGTTGAACACAAGTGAAAGTTTAATGAAGCTTGATGTTGCTTAAAGTAAAAAATGTATGATGTTATCTCATGTGTTAAACGGCTGTTTTCTAACCAGTAAGTGGGAATGAACCCTGGGAGTTTGGCCTTTAAAAACTCTTTCATATTTTGGAATAAGTGGCATCTTTATATATGTGTGTGTGTGTGTGTGTGTGTGTGTGTGTGTGTGTAATTTATTTATTTATTTTTGGGTGTGTGTATAAATTATGAAGGAACTAGTTGAAAAGGTAAATTAACTTTAATCAACAAATGTGATTAAACATGAGCCTAGTGAACCTATCACCTGATCACATTTTAACAATTCTGTTGATTCAAAGAAAATGGTTTTTCTTGCCAAAAGTAACAAAGTCACGGTGCATTTTATTTTCATATTATGAAATATGAAATAAAGTTGGTATAAATAAATGCACCTCCCTGGTCCATCTTACAGCAACATTGTCTCCTGTCATTTGTTTAGATTTTTCTGTTGAGAATATGGGTTTCAAGGAACAAAGTCTTTTATAGTTACATATAAACATTTAAAATTAAACACTGTTGCTTGGAGGGTTCAACACACAAATGCAGCATACCTATTTTTAGAAGCAAATATCTAAATCGAGTGATTCAATGAAATACCACATCTGTCAAGAAATATGCAACAAAATTCAAAATATTTTTTATTGGTAAATAGTGAACTTTGATCTACAGTTGTTTTGTACACATAACACTTTGTAGTGCACCATCACACAATTGTGATTATTGATTACCTATAGCAGATCAAATTGTGGTAACTAATCAGTNCCTTGTTTTTTTTTGAAAAGAAAGATTATCATATTGGCAATCCTCAGATGAGCACACATAGTATCATTGGTGCCTACTTGGCCTGTTAGTAAAGTAAAGAGTGGTCTGAATAACAATGAAAGCAAATATAAAGGGTCATAATTAAAAAAAGTTTGGAAGTTATTTCCTTATTAGAGGCCAGGGCAGGAAAAGAAATGAGCTGCTGTTTAGAAGTGTTCAAGAGACCAATTATCACTTTTTCTGAGATACAAGTTAAAAAATGAACCCTTAAAGGCTCACATTAATATAAGAAAGTACTTATTCAAATTATTGTCAACAAAATGCCATCATATAGTTTCAAGTGGTATAATTTGAAGGGCCATTCCATGGGATTTTCCCACCAAAATGAATTTTCCTGGGGTAAAGAGCAATTTTCTCTTTCTTGTACTTAAATTCTATGTTTTGTTCCATTTTTAATTTAATACATCACTTTAAGTGACTGGCCAGACATTATATAGGACATTTACCATCACACTCATTGTCTTGTTTTTGCAGAAAAAAAGTGATAGGTTGTTTTGTATCCCAGCCCTGTTCCATATATGATACAGATGTTGCAAGCTGGCAATGTCTACCTGATGAGGCTCAGAAGATAATAACGACACTAGGAACATTTCATATAAATTTTATTTCAAGGGATTTATTGTCTTTGTAGTCTGAATCTGGGAAAATATAAGAAGGTTTACAGGACATACATGGGGAATTTGCAGATACGTGAAGAGAACATTTTGGTGGGAAAATGCTGTGGAATGGTCCTTAAACAAAATACCATGGTGTTTCAGTATGTTATTTCCTGAAAAATGATACTTGATATATACTGTACTATCAGTGCTTAACATACTGGAGGGAAAGTAAGTACCAATAGGTCACACTTACAACCAAAATTTAAATGTTCAGTTTTAAAGTCTTGTTTTAGATGCCCTAAATATCAATTTAGGGGGTTGTTTTTTGACAGATGGATTTTTTTTTTGTGTTGTGTATGAAACTGGTACTAATATTTCACATGTTATAGGACTTTAAATCTTATTTATATATCTTTAATTCAAGCATTGTTTTTGGATACCATTTTTTCTATGTTTAGCCTCACAGGGTTGCCAAAAAACCTACTGAGTCAAAACTCATTACCTTGGTTTATATAAAGTTAACGATGTGAATATCAAGCTGAATTATAGAGAATAATTTTTGAGGAATTTAAAAAATATCTGAAGTTCTATGTATTTTCTTCTTTTTTTTTTTTAATCTGCATGAAACATATTTACATGGTGAGTACATAATACGTGCAGTACTGCCATGTGAATTTAGAACTGTGTCATAAAGTATATATATAAAAGGCTGTTTGGAAAGCACACTAAGACCATTTGGTGCTCAAACAGCTTCTTTTCTGGTGTGTAGTGAGCTTAAATTAACATAGCAATATGCTGATTGTCCTCCAGCCAGCAGAGCTTCATGAAATTGATTTTTATCAACCTTCTATAAACAATCTGTACTGTAGGCAAATTATACATTTTGTCAGGCATGTATTACCATGATAAATTGGTTCTTGATGCCATTCAAACAGTGAACGATTTAGTGTGTGTCTTTACAAATCCTGAACTAAATACATTGTTTCAGATCTGGATTATGAATTGAACTGTGTTAATTGTTGTTTCCAAACTATTCAGCTACCTCTAGGATCCTTGAAAACTGATCAAGTCAGATATATATCAACACAAGTTCTCACAGATTCAAGATATGTATTTGTTATACTTGTTAAAGGTTGTACATTTCTTGTAAATATACTAGTCTTGTAAACTAAATGCTGAGACTGTTGTTAATGTTTAAAAGTCACATATGAAGCCGGTGTACCATGAAAATGTGACTCCCCAGTCAGATTTTCATTATGAAAATGTGACTCCCCAGTCAAATTTTCATAATGAAAATGTGACTCCACCCACATGAAATTTTGACTCCCCCCATGTAACTTTATAAATCTTATTTTATTTGAGTATATGACTTTCATATTGTAGAGGATACACTTTTACTTTTTGTTAGTTTGCAGGAGAAAATATTAACAAGAAAATAAGAAAATTAAAAATGTGTATTTTACCACCCAATGACCCCCCCCCCCAATGAAAAAGCTATGTATTTGATATTTGGTAATCATTTCAACATCTTTCCCTTATGTGTACTTTATGTACCCTAGGTTCTAGATTTCAGTTTTGCCAGCTCGATCTTGATTTCATATATAACCCATATCAGCAAAACTGACTCTAGCCACTACCGTCAAAAGGCGGGCGTGTTCGGCAAAATTTTGCCTGGGACACTTCCATATTTGGAAGTCACAAGTCTCGTACGTCACAGTTGTATCCACCTTGAGCTCCATATTTGGAAATCACAAGTCTTGTACGTCAGAGCAGTGTACCACCTGGAGCTGCCTTTCCTCATGTTATTTCGTGCAGACAAGACAAGAAGCAAAGTGGCTGATGTGGAGTTTGAAGATTGAACTTAGAATATCTTGCAATCGAAGGTCAGCACCACAACACAAGCAACTTTCTGCTTTAAAAACTGATTTTTGGTGTAGCCATTGCACAGTCCTTATAGTGGTATTGGACATGCCATGTAGCTGTCAAACTTGGCATACCGTATATCTCCAGGAGCTAAGGATTTTGATAAGCAAAAAAAATACAAAAACATTGGATATATATATTTTCTTTTAAAATACATTATTTATTTTTCAATTTACATCTGAAATCCAGTAAATGAAATTAAATAAAGCAGAATTTAATCTGTTTTACGTTCCATTTTGGTCTAATGACATTCAACTGCAGATTCACTGCGGAGCAGTTCTTTTTGATTGACGGAAATTGAACATTGTCGCTGTTCCTCAGGGCCAGTTAAGCGATCCCTTACATGACAAGGTATGAATAGTTAACAAGCTAGCTATACTGTGCCCTGACACTCAGGGTAACTTTATGAAGAGTATATTGGAAATGTTTGAAAGCTTGGTGGTAAAATATTGGGTGCAAAAAATGAAAGAAAAAATAATGAAAAATCTTCATATTCATACCATGGGGTTTGGACTCCCATGAAGAAAAGGCCTTATTTTATATTCAGTCACCATACCTTTGTTTTCCATATGGTATGCACTGTGACATATATTTTGTTAGTATTTAAAAGTTTGGTGGTGAAAACTGATAATTTTTGAAACAAGTATTCATCTTACTACCTGTAGGATTTGGACTCCCATAGCCTTTGGGTTGAAAAATGCACATTTTTAATTTTCTTATTTTCTCATGAAACTTTTCAAAAAGGCAATGTATCCTCCATACTACAAGATAAAAGTTATATACTCAAATAAAATAAGATTTATAAAGTTTTGTGAGGGGGAGTCAAAATTTCATGGAGGGGGGGGGGAGTCAGATTTTCATTATTAAATTTTGACTGGGAAAGTAATTTTGTTATGAGAGTCAGATTTTCATGTTACACCGTTTTCAGTAATCCCTTGTGGGTTAATTTTCCCTTTGCAGGAAGAAAATATTAATAATGATAACTATTTTTTCAAGGTGATTGTGCAGCAGTCAAACCTGGTTAACTTAATACTTTGCTATCTCACAGTATGTTTAATTATGATTTCTAACTGTTACAGTAGAGAGCTTGCTCTGTTGTTAATAAGCTTAAAAACAGTGTGCCTCACACATTAGAATCTTACTAAAAAGCTTCTTCTCACTTATTATCCTATCTGTTACCTACCCATTTTCAAAATGGGATTTTGAGCTAAATAATGAAAATAAGCTAACCAAGTGTAGATGATATATACTGCACAAATATTGTTGAACACGAGTGAAAGTTTAATGAAGCTTGATGTTGCTTAAAGTAAAAAATGTATGATGTTATCTCATGTGTTAAACGGCTGTTTTCTAACCAGTAAGTGGGAATGAACCCTGGGAGTTTGGCCTTTAAAAACTCTTTCATATTTTGGAATAAGTGGCATCTTTATATGTGTGTGTGTGTGTGTGTGTGTGTGTGTGTGTAATTTATTTATTTATTTTTGGGTGTGTGTATAAATTATGAAGGAACTAGATGAAAAGGTAAATTAACTTTAATCAACATGAACCTTTAATTAAACATGAACCTAGTGAACCTATCACCTGGACACATTTTAACAATTCTGTTGATTCAAAGAAAATGGTTTTTCTTGCCAAAAGTAACAAAGTCACAGTGCATTTTATTTTCATATTATGAAATATGAAATAAAGTTGGTATAAATAAATGCACCTCCCTGGTCCATCTTACAGCAACATTGTTTCCTGTCATTTGTTTAGATTTTTCTGTTGAGAATATGGGTTTCAAGGAACAAAGTCTTTTACAGTTACATATAAACATCTAAAATTAAACACTGTTGCTTGGAGGGTTCAACACACAAATGCAGCATACCTATTTTTAGAAGCAAATATCTAATTCGAGTGATTCAATGAAATACCACATCTGTCAAGAAATATGCAACAAAATTCAAAATATTTTTTATTGGTAAATAGTGAACTTTGATCTACAGTTGTTTTGTACACATAACACTTTGTAGTGCACCATCACACAATTGTGATTATTGATTACCTATAGCAGATCAAATTGTGGTAACTAATCAGTAAGACATCACAATTCATCAGAAATATAGAAAGTGCTAATGGTCACATACCAAGAGATTTGTGTATTTTAATAAATAAATGGTTGCTTTGTATAATGGATTGAACATAACCCAAAAACCATTCAAGCAATGGTAATATGTCAGTATACAGGTAAAAGACTGATTTTTTACCATTTAACCTAAAAGAACATAAAACCAAATTCAAAGTTAACTCAATTCATCAAACCCTTGTTTTGATGTCCAATAAGATGTGTGAGAAAACAATTGAAGTGTCCCAAGAAAGTTTTATATGAAGTCATTGAAACAGTTAAAGAAAGTCAATTGTTCTATACGNATTTAAACTAGAAGAACATAAAACCAAATTCAAAGTTAACTTGATTCATCAAACCCTTGTTTTGATGTGCAATAAGATGTGTGAGAAAACAATTGAAGTGTCCCAAGAAAGTTTTATATGAAGTCATTGAAACAGTTAAAGAAAGTCAGTTGTTCTATACACAACTGTACTGTTCCACTTCAGTTGAAGATTAAACAAATGTAATATACATGAAAAGAAAAATCTTGGCAGACCATAGTTGTTGATTGAAATTATGTATTTTGATTGCTCATGGCTTATTCCTTTTAATTTTGGCACTCATGAGTGACCACCATGGCTAGGTTTTAGAAAGTACAGTAAAAACAATTTGATATGTTTTTACCCTTAATATAATATGCTATATATTAACAAATTACTCTTACAAACCACAATATTCACAGAGCTGCATTTAACTGCAGATACGTTAGAGCAGAAAAATACTTTGTAAATGAACATCTGCACATAAACATATTCAGGTGTCAGGTCTGTAAGCAGCAATTTCAAAAGGGGATAGGGGTCTTTTTCTGAGAAGTAGACCTTTTTTACCCCCTTTTACAACCTTGGTTGACAAAACTAGCAGACCTCTTCCACCTTTGAAGGTGGTCCTTTTGACCCTCCCCCTTCCATGAACCCCTACCCCCTTGCCTATAGGCCTAGCTAATAATTGTTGAATGTCCTGCAGTATGAGAGATCTTAATTAACAAAATGGTTCTATACACTGTGTGTTTCCTTCTACTTTCTGTGCAGGAATACAATAAATACAGATATCACATGAGAGGAATGTACAATTTTCACAGCCTGATGAGCTTCAAATATTAAAAAGGTAAAACTATAACAAGGAAAAATATGATAAAAATCACAGATAACAAAGAAATTTATGTTTCTTTTCCATAAACATAAACAAAGGGTTATGAATAAAATACTATGGTAGTTTAGTTACCATCAAAGTAAAATAACTGAATTATCAATCGACTACCATACAAACTCCTTTAAAAACAATATTTTTATGTGAAACATCTGAAGTCAAAAACGACCAAAGAAAATAATGTGCAATAATGTAACACAAAGGTATATACAGATATTTATGCAAATTTAAACACACAGAGGAAAAATAAAATGAAAATGATAAATATGGTATATTCAGGTTTGAACATACACCTTAGAAAATTAAAATGTTTGAATGAAATGTTTATGTACAAAATGATGAAGAGATTCTTTTTTATGTCTGTCACATTTGTTGTGAACAATACTGCCAAATGCCTCTTTACCAAAGCTGTGTTATGCTTAAAGCAATACAAAAATAATGCCGAGAAAATCTTTTAACACAAGGTACTCCTACATTAGGTGTGATGCATGTAGCACATAATGCTGATCTTGTTGACCTTATCCATGTACAGTAAATATAAAGGTAATTACCAGGGTACCTCAATATCAAATAAACTGTGAGCTTTGTTCACCCTTAACTGATCTAGATTAGAATAATCCAGTACTCAGAACAGGATAAAATGACAACTTCTCTAGACTATTTGGTACAGGTTTTAGAAATGATTTCTGGCAACAGAGTGCTACAGGTGCTCCAAGCAGTTAAAAAGGCTATGTACATGCATCATGCCTTTAGAGATTCATTTCCCTCCTTTCACAAATAGACCTGTCTCTGTGTAGTGAAAGTACTAATTTTTCAGTTACCTCAGAGGAGACAGCAATTTGAATAGTGTGGGACTGTGAGGAGGTATATATTATCTTATCCTTTAATACTGATAATCCGATGCCAAGTTTTGATTGTTGTCAGCATTGAAACTAATAATAATCATAATGAACACAAATGCTTGCCTGATTATATATCAAATGTGGTGATTGAGTAGTTTTGTTTTCAGCAGACCATTCTGGAGTGTAGCTTCAAACACAAGTCAACAGATAAATGTTATATGCTGCTGGTAATATGATCCCTTAGAATTGTCAATTCACTTCCACTTCTTTATCATTCTATGTTTACAGTAATTACACTATACACTACTAAGGCTTCAAATGTCACATAGAAGATCCACAAGAATGCCAAGAAACCGCCACTGACATACTTCACCCATTTCTTTTCCCCTCCTAGTTCTCCTCCAACCACCTAGAAATTTAGGAAAAAATAAAGTTATTATTTTAACAATGCTTTTCTTTGTTTTCTGTAATTTAAGATTTTGCATATTTATCAAATTGAGTGTGCAAGCATTACATGATTTACATGTATACACAATTCGGGGAAGCATGCAAAGACAAAATTTGTTGTTTAACACATACTAGTATCACTAAATATCTTTTGTTATCAGATATATAAAAATTTCACATATTCCAAAATAGAACATCATTCACAACTTTATTAGTCTTGAGAATATTATAAAGAAAAATTAATTCCTACCTTTCTCCGCAAAAGCAAGATTATAATGCACACTGTTCCAATCACAGAGAAGACGATCACAGCCTGGGTCAAGTTGGTACTTTTCACATAAAATGGTTGACCAATTGCTGTATAGTAAATCACACTGATGCACCAGGGCAGTCCAAGACCAAGGAATACATTAACACTGTTGCTCCCTGTAATGCACACAATATGTACAGCATTTAGTAAAACCTATTTAAAATTTCCTAAGAATACTATATTGGTGGCATTCATGTTTATGTCACAAGAAGTCTAGATACTGGCAAACAGTGTTAAAGATTATAAGGAAACTTACTATTATAATAGTACTGTTACTGTTTGACAAGTAATTTTGCATAGCAACACCACTTCAGTTTCTGGTCATATAGGCACGTATGTGTACTTGTGTCATACTGATACTAAGTAAAGTAAAGAACTACATATCTATAATTATATATGCTTTACCTGTGACATTGCCAATTGCTGCATCCGCGCCTTCATCTTGCAGTGCAGCAGTTCTGCTGGCAAATGTGTCTGGGATGCTGGTCCCCAGGGCCACTATAGTGATACCAGTTACTGCAGGCTTGAGGTTCACTACACAGCCAAGCAGACCACCAAGCTGAAATATATCCATTGTATTCAATTAACTGTAAAATTACATGCAAGATCCACACTTGGAGAATGGCTAGCATACAGTTAGTCTTTATCTATCTGATGGAGTACCATGCAGTTTGACTTGTATCAACCACAAAAATGATAACTTCAGTCTTAATGCATGCCTATTACAAATCAACACATAACACAAATAAAAATACACGAATATTTTAATAAAAAAAGGGAGAAATATTTTATGTTTGTTAAGAGATTCAAATATAGGCTCTTCAAGCTGGTGATATTACTCGTGTTTTAGTCATCCAAGTTTTCATAAAATATCTGCTATCTAAGTGAGCAGCATGTTGAAGAGCTTATATAATAAATCTCTGCAATATGAATTAGGCCTTTCTTATGTTTACCTTAAATGCTACAATAATTCATATCAGTAATTAACATAAGGTACATGTACGTACTGTTTCTATAATAGCTGTCAGGCCAGCAATGTACAATATGGAGACAACAAATGTTGGCCAAGCACCCAAATACATCCTGAAAATATAAATAAAGTGTTCATTTTTTCCAAAGCCTAGATTCATTCAAAAACCGTGGCACTGTGATGAAACCAATGTTTAAAAGACAGAAAATTAAATAAGAAAAGACCTGGGAATAAGTAAATTAAAACTAAGAACATACAGTAGGTAGTAACAGCACTTTTGTGCAAAAATAAAAATAAAAAAATTAACACTTACTTTGGTGGAATAAAAGCATGCAAAACTTTCCAAAAGAAAGTGAAGAAATGCATGAAATAATCCAACCAGATGGGATCCTGTTCATTACCATCCTCGTCCTCATCACCACCAACCTCAAATGCACTGGAATTATTGCAATGAAATATAAACAATTTTCACAAATAAGTAATCTGAACTTGCTGTATTAGGCTTAATATGGGGAATTTTTTGGATTTTTATCTGATTCTGATTTGGAGCATTTTCATTATCAAACACAGGCATTTATCAAAATAAACTTTAATTGACTTACGCTCTAAATTGTCCACCCCAATCAAGTTCCTCCTCTTCATCCTCATCATCCAAAGCATCAGCAATACGATCACCAAGTGCATCTAAGAATAGAATTAACATACATTATTTGGCATACAATATAAATTGTAAAATCAGAACTCATCAATAAAGAACAGATAAGAAGGATTTATTATGGACCATTAGATTAAATTTTTCATCAGCTTTTTTATTCAAACAAAAATGTCCTTTACTGATATACACATAGGTAAATCCAAGAGATAGTTTAAGGAGACCATGCTTCTATTTTCAAAAACAGGAAAGCAGATTAAGCTACTGCCCTTCCCCAAAAAACTATTTAATTTTTCAAGATACAGAATCACACCATTTAAAATATTAGTTTGCACTGGAATTCTTTTTTTTTTTTTTTTTTTTTTTTTGGGGGGGGGGGGGGGGGGGGGAAAGGGGGGAAGGGGGGGGGGATGGCATAATTATAATTGGGGATCCTTCTTAATATCCTGGATCTATTAATGTACATGTGGATTTTTAATCAAGTGCATCCTCAAGCATTTGTTAATAGTCTGTTACTAACATTATTAACATAATTGTGATTTTAAAAGTCACTCTCATATTGCATGCAATGGTAAGTAGAAATGTATGACACCTAAATTAAGACCCAATCATTTATATACTGCTTTCAAATAGACTTATTTTGGTAATGCTTTATTGGATAATTTTAATGTAAATTATGCTGGAAGTTTTAAACAGTAGTGCAACACATTACATACAAAATCACTTTAAATGACCTGGTTTGCCTTTAGTCACTACTGATGACGTAACTTATGCATTAGTCTGATTGTCTGTCTATCTGTCTGTCTGAATGAATGTCAAATTTCGCAAGATGATCACAAACATAACCGAGTTGGAACAAAGACCAATTTATTAGATTTGGTTTTGATTATCTTTCAGTTTCAACTTGTTTAATTTTCACCTAACATTATGCTCAGAAAATTCTGAGAAAAAGTATTTCATCATTGTTAAATTACTAAAAAAAAGAACATTTTCCCTTTGCAAAGGTACATGTATGTGAATGTTCCCAACACAGCTACCTATGAAGAGTCACTCCATCACTCTGCAAGTACACAATTTAACTAATCTATTCAAGCAACTCTAGTTTATACCACTGGGTTTTACTTTTGAATTGGTAAACCCTAAAATTTTATCTCTACAACTGCATATACAACTGTACCAGCAGACTTTACTGCAAAAAAGCTACATGTATACTGAAGACCCTAAAGACAAAAGATGCTAGATATATAGTTCCTCACAATCTAAGCAAGCAGCTGAAGCAGAAGCAATGGTCTACATGTATCAAAGGTTTGCATTTGATTTTTATGTGAATGCACAAATACAAAATATAGGCACATGTGACTTCAAGGGTCATTTTCTATTGGGTTTGAACAAAAATGTTTAGGTTAAAACTTCATGAAGCAGACACTTGTATCCCATAATCCCTCTGTTATTAATATCTGAGCCTCTCATTGTACTGACCACTTTACTCCTGGTAATACACAGAGATAATATACAGCAGGGAGTGTTCACCTAAGTGTACAAGTAAGTATTTAAGTTTAAAAAAACTATAGCAACCCCCATCCACCTACCCACAAAAAAAAAAAAAAAAAAAAAAAAAAAAAAAACAACTTGGCTGCCACAGCTCTGATTTTGAACAATCACAAGACAGGTGATATAGGGTGTTACAGGTATGTGTCACACGGAAGTCCTCAATGTTCTGTGAAAATGGCATATTTATAACCCATGGCTCTAAGTGTACATCACAAAGGACAATAAACATTTTCAAAAGCAAAAAAATATATCTGCATAATGCCCCTGGTTGAAATAGCAAAAATGGAAAGCAAAAGTAATGCACGTGTCAATTTAAATATTTTGCTGTATGATTTACATTCAGTTTGATTGTTAACAGGGACACATTCAGTTTTGAATAAATGGTTTTCGAGAAAGTAGTCACAAAATGGAGAAAATGCTTGTTAACTTGCACAGTTTCAATACACATACAACAGATGGGAATTAATATGCACTGCACATGCCTGTCAATATACATATACAACCACATACAAGCACAGTAAGCACAACACTAAGTCTGGACTACCATATAGGGAGCACACATATCAAAGCAGATATTCCATTACCTGAGAACCCTCCTTTCTTCTTCCCTGGAGCACATGCAAGTGCAATAACAAATACATGCTAAGCTCTAAACACTTATCATAACTTAAACTGTTTTAGTAATTATATCATTTTAGTTCTAACAAGTTATTGTTTTTTTCAGCTTTGGAACATAAATATAATGGTAAGATCTTGTTCAAAATGCCAACAGATCTGATGCTTATGTTTCACATGGAGGTTTGAATAGAAATCATCCGAGGCTCTCAGCACGATGTGACATCATAAAAAATAAGAAAAAAGTGTGAGAATCTGCATGAGGTAGGCTGACCTTTCAGCAACGAGGGTGAATTTTGACATTGCTGAAGAAAACAATACAAATGTAACACATTGTGAATAATGAATATGCACTGTTGTGCAAAAGGCTAATTCTATACAGAACTTCAAATGGAACAATCAGAAAAACACCCATGTCTAAATTCTTTCACTTTCTGTTGATTGCCACACAACACTTGCCAGTGTGCCATTATTCCTGACCACATATGCTTCTTAACATGCTGTAGTTCTCACTTAGTTTTATGCAAAGTTCTGAGACTTTGGATGATTCCCATTTACATGTAATTAATAGACAAACAGGACAAAAGAAATGGGCTTAAAGAATCAAAACTTTCATTTAAGGTTCTCAAGAACAAGGACTATATTTCTAAATACTAGGTGTGGTATTTTTACTATTTTCACTACAGGAGAAAAAAGGGAGAGAAAATCAATTTTAGTATTTTGACCATACAAATGTGCAACAGTTCATTTTCTAAACAACTTGTAATTGGGTGATTTGCAGCACTTGCAACTATGCAGAGATACAAGTAATCAGAAGCTACTACATGTACAGTTTACCATGATATAAATTTATATTGTTTGCATGCATCTCTTAAATCAACACTAAATACACTACAAGCTGCACTATTTATTTTGATTCTCATATGCCATAAATTTCAGTCAGTACATTATCCATTATTGTCACCATCAATTTTCTTCGTTCTAAAGGAAATGTTTTCTATAATCAAAGATCAAACATGTTTTTTAAAATAATTATTGGTCACCATTCTAATACTGTAAACAAATGGCACATGACTAAAAAAAGCCATCTGTACTTTGCAATAGCAGAAAGGCCAATAAAAAGTGAAATATTGATTATCAATGAGTTTTTAATGAAAATATACTGACTGATCACTCCAGACTCAAACCACATAAAATGCATCCATCTGTGTTACTTAACTGTTAAGTACAAAGTACCTTTTAATTTACAAACAAACAAACAAACTGTCACAGAAAACTAGACAATACCTGTTTTAAAACAAACACTTGTCACTAACAAGCAAACATATACTTATAGCAAGGCAAATATGTGCCAAGATAAAGGGGAAAAGGAGGCAGATATTTAGACATGGAGTGGTGCATTGATTGACAGTTGAAGGGGCGTGGCTTACCTCCTGTAATGCTGGCAATGGTTGCACTGTGTTCACCAATTCTTGAACCAACACTTGGATTCTTCAATGCAATAATGAAGTTCAAGTTTCCCTAAAGAATACATAAAATGTTTATAAATATGTAATTTGTAATAATTTCTCTCAAGTTATCAAAACAAGAATATTATTAAATCAAAGTTAAGCTATACCTACATAAACTCACAAGCACTAATATATTTTTCCATGCCTTCTCGGGCTATTTTATTGTAGCTATATTGTCATATTTCAGCATTAAAAACTTTAAACCAATTCAGAAATAGACTAACATGACACAGACATATTATAATATGTAATATATTAATAATAAATATTATAACTTTAATATCTATTATAATAACACATCAATCTAATTTGTTGTCTATATTGATGCAGTAACTTAGACATTTTAATTCGAATGTGTTAGAAGTTATTTATCTACAGTGATGTAATTACTGAACAGGTCCTTTTTTAGAAAATAAGATTCATGGAATGCCTTATGTTCTATGTGCATGAATTTCTGAAACATCCTAATCCATACCAACCATAAAACAAGTTTCTAAGATATAAACCAAATTTCTACCAAAATTAACTTCAAGTAAGAATCTAATATAAAATCTTATAAAATGAATAATTGTTACACAGTAAAATAATCAAATAATAAAACTTAATGTAAAAAAGGTTTAATGTTAAATGTAATTAAAACACAACCATGTCAGAAACATTCTTTTTATGAGGGCTGTTCTGATCACTTTCATGAAATGCCATGACAAAACTGTTAAGGTAGCTGTATTACCACTGCTGGGTTGACACACATAAACTGCTGCATATTGTGTATAATGTTGTGGATGAAAGCACATTTCAAAAAAGCCTTTTTGAGTTGATGTTTGCAATATTGGAGCCGACATTCAATAAGATGTGACAGCACAAAAGAACATTTGCTTAACCCAAAAAGGTTATTGTTAAATATACACTGTTAATGTATTAGGAGAAACATGTTTCCTTATGAATCATATAAAGACAATGGTGGTGATTTTTTGGCTGAGCTAGTGTATTATTAATAGCATATTAGAATTTGCATGCTGAATATGCTGCATTTCTGCAGTATTTAAGCAAAACACTCTCCCACCATAAAAAACATATGAAAGATGAGTGTACCTGAGACTCCTAAAATAACAAAAAATAAATGAACACAATCATAAACTTTTTACATTTTCAAAAAAGTGGCATAGTCACTTCGGTATTTTGTAACCACAAAAAATAAAATAGATCAACAGACACTTGAAAAAGAGAATGATACAAAAACAGCTGACTTAACATACATGTAAGCAATCAACTCTTACAGCCTTTCATACCATGGAAATATATTTGAAATGCAGGATTTTACAAAAACTTCGAGCCAACACAAGATATTACGAAGTCACATTTATCAAATACCTTTGTCACAAGTACATATTTACAGTATATACATCCACTTGAAAACATTGAGAATTGAACAACTGACTCTTACCTTTGGATTCTTGTTGACATCCACTGTAACAATTTTGCTCGTCTCTCCATGCTTGAATACAAGCACACCGTTTTCGGTGACGTAGTCAAACCCAGGACCTAACTCTGGTCCACCCTTAGCAGTTCCATCACTGGAAACAATGCATAATGGGTCAGAATTAATTATATAAAAAGTTATAAGCATGTATGTGCTGTCTATTGTTTTTAATTGAAACATATATCATGATGGCTCTCACAAAAATTCTTCTTGGTAAACACATTATTTATTGCCTAATTTGTATGTAAACTTGATAAAATTGTTTGCTTCGGTTTGTATACAATCAGCATTTTTCATATTTTCAGTACACTCATTTTACTGATTATTGAAACCCTTCTGTTATATTGACTATGTCATATTGACTTACATGGTGGAATATTCGATGGTCACCTGGCCATCACAGCCATGCTCTCTAAGGACTGTAGCGATCAATTTGCCTGTCTCAGGGTTTGCTGAGTAATGGGGCTTTTCAAATGTCAATTCACCAGGTTCTAAAAGGAAAATATGATGGTAAAGAAAATATAAGCAAGAACAATCTTTGTTTGGTTTCCATTTCTTTCTCAGAATGATATCAGCATGTATTTTATTTACTAAGTAATTTATATCAGATAAAAGCTAGGAACTTAAAAACTTTTCTGATGTACTCACCATCATCATCAATGATGGTAACCCTGGCAACACTTGGGTCTCCAAGACCTGCTTCTGCTGATGGGTTTTTCAGAATAACATAGAAATCCACATCAGCCTCATATTGATTGTCATTAACAATAGGCACTGTTACTGTCTTACAGTACTCATTTGCAGCAAATGTCTGGAAGTAAGAATTAAACAAATGTGATTTTTAATAAAACAATTAATAGAGTTGGCACACTAGCCATACTGTAAAGCTTACAAGGCCACAGACATATGTATTACTTACAAACATTAATTTGTATATCTGAGCCCTGTATACTTGCCAGTGAGCCTTTGGTGTATTTAAAGTCCTTGTCCAATTTTCCAGACCCTTCCCTGGTCTCATATTCCACTGTCACTTCCCCCTTAATAACATCTTCCTCCCCATCATCAGGTGGTCCAAGGAAGGTGGTCTCTGTATCTGGAGTGTTGATGGAATGGATGTCAGTGTTGGTGCCTCCATTCTGAAAAATAAGAACCAGTTACATCAGGACCAATCTAAAATATTTGATAAATTTTGTGTGGGTGTGTGCTGAAGGTGGGGGGGGGGGGGGGGGAAACAAAAAGAAAGATGATTAAATGAACAAATTTTTCATTCAGAATCCAGACCACTAAATCCTTTTCATTTTATCATATACTTTGCATTCTCATGCTATATAAAATTCATTAAAAAAACATGGCTGTTGAAATATAAAAATAGTAACTGATTGAAATGAAAATGCAAGTTAAACTTTTCTTCAAAAATCAAATTCAAATCAGTAGACCTTTGACTTCTTACAAGGGGATTTGTTGACTTTAAAATGAATGTGTTGATTGTGAAACTATATCCACCAATAGCAGCACACTTAAGTACATGGTTACTGTAATGTGTGTCTAGACTGTGTAAATATGTCACTTTGCAATTTGGTCAATACATGTAATTACACAGTGATGTTGTTAAAAGTAGGCACAATTGATACACATCTAAAAATATATCTTCCATCCAAATCAATTTAAATGAAGGGCTGGTGACAGAGAATGATAATTATAAACATTTCAAAGATTAAAGATTATTAAACTAAAAACTTATAAAGTAAATACTTTTCAGATACTAATACAACATCAAGGAATTAAAGACTCAAAATATTAGTGGAGAACAATAACGATAAAGACACTACAGAGTGAAAGAAAGAATATTAATCATTTAAGTACGAAATAGTAAAATATTAAATCATTAAAACCACTGAAAGTGGTCCAGGTGCACAAAACTTTAGGGGAAATTAATTCCTGTAATGACAAATGAGTGACAATTAACATGAGTTTTTAAAAAATTTGTTGTATTCAATTTCAAACTTTTCGTCACACGTTCAAAAGAAAAAATGCAGAATCCATAATGTTAAGAAAACTCTGAAGTAATTGCAATTTTTCACAGTCAGTTTTGGAAATGTTAACTTTGTGTTATGAAAATCTTGAAAAGAGAAACTCACAATTTAACTTAAATCAGGATGTACATATATATATATACATATACACAAGGAGACAAATGGTACATGAGTATGGGCAGGTGGCTGTGCCATGAATTATCAGATTACACATACATAAGCAACAGTGAATGCACAACATTCAGGGATAAATGGCAAGCTGTGCACAACAGTTTTATACCTCCACAATGCCCATGTCATTATCACTAAACTGGTTAGAGCTCCACTGTGCTGAATGCTACAATAAAATATCACAACATAAGAAAAAAGCTAGAGTTTTGTGCAACATACCATAAAATGCACAGGCATGCATTGCTGACTGTAGTTATAGATGTTAGTTTTCTGTATTTTCTCTTTCAGTTTGCAGAACATGCATATTTCAATTAATACGCAAAAAAAGGTTTGTGGGCATTGTTATATGCAACAGACTTTAGATTAAAAAAAAATGAAAACTTAAAGCACTAAGCATATCATGCCAATTTTAAAGACTAATGTTCTTCATTAGTTTGGGTCGAACAATTCCAGAAAGAGTACATACATTAATATATATGAGTTTTGCTTCTGAATTAATAATTAACATAACTAGCAAAAATAAATGTACTCTAATGAACTCCAAGTTCCTTGAGAGGAATTACTGAAATACAGTTAATCACTATCCACCCTGCACACATTTAATCATCTGGGTGATATATTTGGGTGAGGAATCTAATTTTTATTTCTACATACTAGTATGTAAGTAAGATGCCCAAGTGAAGTGACTTTCCTAAACTAGTCTGTTTGGTGCACATATTAATTGTTTAAACGTGAATTCTCCATGCAATACAGTGTATAATGTACTAATAATTGTACACTGCTCATGTATATGATTGATTTTGTATTATTTTACAATTTTATGAATTTACACCTTTATCCTTTTAAAAGTATTTTTCAATATCTGGACTATCAGATATACTTAAAGGAACTGTAATAATTTTTTAGGTATAAAATTTGCCGTTTGTGATGATGCTACCAATACAAAAATTAAGATGGCAAAGTGGCAATCAGTGAGAATTATCAAATCAAGCAATGTGAAAGTCTTTAAGTGCCTATGAAAAGTACCATGCAGGAGTAATAAGTCCATGATTCATTCTTAATGTGAGAAAAAGTAAAGGTACCTTATCAGATGCAATAGGAGCTAAAGCATTGCGTCGTTTCAATGGGCCATTCAAACTGAACATATTAATTATCCGAGGTTTCCTCTGATCAGCATTTGTTAGAAATAAACAGTACTAGTACAATGTAATGTTATTCAATACAAAATTCTTTGCAAAAAGGCAAAAAATGGATGATTTTGAGCTTTTGGATATAAGCACCTTTAAAAAAGTCAAATAAAAGCTCAAATTTTGCGACATACATGTTAGTCACTAAGTGTCCTTACATGGTAACCATGCATTCACCTTTGTGAACTTGCAATACAGAAATAACTGTTACATTTAAAATAATGATTTCTCCATACAATGACAATCAATTGTGGCACTGTAAGTGTAGATTGAAAGTCAATATTTATGCAACAGTGAATAACAGTATGATTAATGAATGGGTATATGCAATGCACACATTCACATTACAGTGTAGGTTACAGCATGCTGAAGAAATTTTTTCAGAAATCTTTATATCCAATGCTTTGATGTCCCAACCCTGTGATACTCCAGGCCCGCTGGTTGCAAATTCACTTCCACTAAAGTAAACATTCTGGCACCTTAAGTATTGTACATGTACCTTATGCCAAACATACAATACTATTAGGCATATACTAGTTTGGTGTTAATGATGCATACAATATGGAAGACTACCTCAGTAATGGCCAAGCCTGTGGCTAATTTGTATACTTACAGCAACTATAGCCCTCTTGGTTTTTGACCTGAAAATATAGAAAAAAATATGCTTGGAACAAATCTTGAATATTGGTAAAAAGCAGAATAACTTTGCCAACTAATACCAGATAAATTGAAAATTCTCTTTACTTCCTGATGCATTATGTAGCATTAACACTATTTCCTGTTACCTAACTTTAATGAGACTAAAGCTTATGGCAGTTGCTGAAACAATTCACATTTTCTTAAATTATTTTTTCTTGGTCCAAACACTAGGAACAAACGGCAAACCATGCAACAACTGATTTTTTTTTTTTCATTTTGATCATTTGACCATATCATCAGCAAGACATGGAGAGTTTTCAACTTGATAAACCAGCAGTGGTATAAAAAATACAAAAAACTACAGAATTAAAATATATTCTTCCATTTATATCTGAATATGATATTACATTGAGAAGAACATAAGAAAAATAGAGTTTCAGTTTATAGTGTTACAATGGCTTACATCATTCTGCGATGAAAGAGAACATCTATCTCTAAGATACCAGCACTCTCCAGCACTGAGTAGCTGTGGGCAGCAAATGTAAATTTACCAACCAGGTCTTCTGTAATGGAGGTACAAAGCATTGTAAAACAACAACATGCATGTTCTCTTTATTCTTGTACAAGTGTAATAATGAATTTGTGGTTTATTTAAAAATTATGAAAGTTTTAAGGTAGGCACACAGACCTACCAGATCATTTTAGTAACATTCAATACATATTCAATACACATTCCTTTTTCAGTTTTTTTTTCCATTTGCCAAAGCATCAGATGTATTTACCTGGCATTGTTGTTTTCAGATTATGAATGGACTGGACCCTGTCTACAATGTCTGCTAGGTTCCCTTTGGAGTCAGAGTGGTGGTGGTCATGGTGGTGGTTCTTCCTGCGGTGACCAAGGAGAGCACGGACAGCTGCATGACGGAATCTATAAAAAAAGAAAAAAAAAACGTAAGCATGGAACCCCTTAAAAATTATATTTTAGCAAAACCTTACCGAAACCAAGGCCTGTCTTCTTTCTTTTTAAAATAAATTTGTACCATGGTTGTTAACATATCTTTTCCTTTTTCAAAGCTGAAAATATCATTTTATATCAATGTCCATCATATAGAAGTGTCTAATTTTTCGCCTATTGTAATTTCTGAAGATAGGTAGTGTCATGTGCACCCATGTTGGAAAACATCATGTGCATTTTTCTTGCAATATCATTATGAGCATGCAAAATAACTAAATCTCCTGGTATTTTAGGATCACTTTTAATTAGTAACATGCATAGAATAGATTAAGTCTACACTCGAAAAGGTGGTCATTATTGATCATACAAGCACAACATAATGTTTCTAGATAGTTATAAAGATGGGGATTATGAAGGTAAATGTGACGCAGCCATGGTCATTCTTGGATCACAGACTGGGGCCATGAACAGTTTCAATTACTAATTTTATTGGATGTAGACTGACAATTTGCAGCTTTTATAACTTCAAAAATGGAAATCAATATTTTTTTCCGACATCCTTAACAAAAACCAATATGTGCGCAAAGTTTTTCAAGATATCAGCTCCCTTCACATACTCAAAAACTGAATATGAGTGACAAATTGTTTCACTAGCTGTGATATAAAATAAAAAATATTCACCATCTGCCAAATTAAGCAAGAACTGGCACATAAATTCAATGCTCACTTTGATAGACTGGTGAGAGACAGAGACACTGACAGCGAATGTAGGAATCAATTATCTTACACAAGTTGTCTTTCGGTAAGATATGAGGATATCTCCTGGGAATTCTCTGCCTGTGGTTTTAACCCTTTCCCTGGCCAACTTATAAAGCTGAAAGGTTTCCTTTCAGTAATTGATATAATATCAATCTACTATCAAAATGTTGCACATAGCACAATATTGAAATTTTGTAGAGCAATGTGAGAACTTTCAATGAATGTCAAGTGTTCTATATTGATCTGGGAATGCTGGTTTCTATGTCTATTACCCTAACACAAACATGACAGAATTTCGGGTGTTTTGATATCAAGAGAGAGCAAAGAGGTGACATATTTCACATCATTTGGAAGAGTTTTTTAGCCTTGTCTTTTATATAAATCATAAACCCAATGCATCATTTGTGGTTCTTATTTTTTATGACAATATTTTGTGGACACAGTGGCTTTGGTTCAAGGTACCATATAATACAACTGCCTTTTGAATTTTCGACTAACAAAAATTTTATAAAATCATTGATCAAGAAATAAAGACTTCAAAATTAAACCTTTAAAATATCTTTTCAAAAAAAAACAACCTTTTTCAGAAAGGAAAAAATAATGGATATATCTAGACTAACAAAATCAGATTTTTTTTTCACATGAAATGTGCGTAATCCTCAATACTCCAGACAACAAAAGTACAAAGGACCAATCTTAAGTCAAACTCAGTAAAACTCTGAAAATGTTCAAATTTTAGAACTGCTGACAAATAAACATGTAAATGACTCAAATAAAGGCAAAGTTTGCTAAACTAGCAACATAATGGCAGTACAGATGCACAGGAACCTATCAATACGGTTACTATGTCTTCCACCTTGGAGAAACTCCATTCAATTATGGGACCAGGTACATCAATTATTCACCATGGCCAAAGGTAAATAACAACTGGGAGCAACAAGGCCCATGTGCAATCAAACCCAGATGAAGACACACAGAGAGGCTGAAATGGTGTTACATCAAAACCACTTATCAAAGACATGACTGCTGCCAATATCCCTATTCAAAACTATAACCGGCAAATAAGAAAGGGAGTTATTTGCCTCAAAGAAAATGAATGTCATAGTAATGGTACCTTTCATCATGTGGTTACACAACTGTGCTTCAATGGCAATTTCTTTTACAAAGATCCCAATTCAAATTTCTCGTGTATATGCCAAATAAATATCAAGCAATATATCCAGACATGACCAGTGTTCTGTCTTGGTTTTTATATTTATATGTAGCTACAGATTTTATGAAAAATATTTCCATATGGGTCTTAACAAATACCCAAAATCTTTTAGTAGAAGTTGAAGTCTCCTAGCTGTTCTCTTTTCACTGGTTCTCTTTCACATGTCCTCTCACAGATCACAGGGGTATAATATTTTACATTTTACTTTTTGAAATTGCATATCAAACAGACAAGTTCCAATTCATTATATCTTTTTATATGTACAATTCTATTCCTGTCTGTGCTATTCACTGTCTTTTTGCACAGAAACATTAATTTTAAATGTATGCAACAAAATCATAACAACAATGTTCACCTGAACCTGCAGCCGTGATATCATGCCAAATGCACAGAAAAGAAAATAGTGAAAACAAAATATGATAAATATTAGATTTAATACAATAATCTACCCTTCAGATGTACGGTCTAGAGGTAGAAGTATGCATTACACATGTATAAAAAGAGAATGATTTAGTTTTCTAATAATAAAAAAATTACTGTGTAATAAAATATGTTTAGGAATTAAATAGAATATCTGAAATACTAGAAATTATCACTTTCATTCTCTCACTTAATGTAAAAAACAAAATGTGTTTTCAAAATCTACATTCAAACAAGCTATGCATGCACTGTTAAATTTTATACATCAAAAGCATTTTAAAATAATAATTTTTTAAAATAAACTTCTTGGTACTAAATCTAACTGGGGCTGCTTAACTGGTTATTTGAATTGTTCTAAAATATCCAACAAAGGTGCCAAGGCATGCAGACATTGCACTTCCTTCTACATAAAATTTCCCATTCCATCAGAACTGAGTATTCAAAAATTTTCTATTACACTATAACACTGCATAGCAACACTACAACAGCTATTCTTTATCTGTGTGTATTCTATTGAACAAAAACAGTCCATTGATTTGTGCAATATATTTACAGTTAAACAAACAATCAAGACAGTAACCATCAAAGCAGGCAGGGAAATAATCTTTTAAAGGTTAACAAGGTACTACTGGTAGTTGATGAGAGGTTATTCTCATCCTGTTAGGATCCCATGCTACCACTGTTACAAAATTGAAAATGCATGTAAGTTAAAAAATATCTACTACATATTCAAAGGAATATGCAGTTCACATATACAAGTATATGTACATGTATAATGTAGAGAGCTAATTTAGATGTGACAGCACTGAATCTGATATAAAACAACAAAAAACATTGTTCATGTATGTTAGAGTATGCTTTACATTGCATATTGGAATAAAGCTTTGCTGTTCGTCGTAAGATGAACAGTACAGTTATAAAATGAATGTGTACATGGACCAAGTTTCTGTATACAACAGAGTTACTGGTGCAATGCATAATTCCATCCCAAGAATTGACAACCACTTAAATTACTGTTCACTGACTTGGATTTAAGTGTATGTAGTGAACACACACACACACACACACTTCATAAATGCCTATGTCAACACCCTGCCTCATTGGACACATATGGGACTTCTCAAGCCATGCTGCTGACAACATTTTAGCTGCATGGCAACAATACATGCACAATAAATCCATTCCAGATAAACAACAGCAATATACCTATGATTTTGAGATTTTAGACACCACTTCATAAATATATAGAATTTTCAACACAGGCACTCACAATAGTTTTGTTGTGTCCCATGCCAAAATACTTGTGTACCATAAAATGTACCAATACCAGCATTTAAGGTACCGGGTACATGGAAACCATGCAAGCATTCAAGGTATGAAAGCAGCCCTACACCACTACAAGCAAATATATAGCCGTACTGTCATAAAGAATTCATATTTGACTTTTAAAAAATCAGATATATAAAAAACTGGAGAAAGCCTACAGTTGTTCTTCTCTTATTTATATTATGTAATTAGTATGGTATGTTCAGGAAGATGTCACACGTACCTGGGTGAAAAAAAGGCAGAGGGGAATGACAGTAACAGGGAAGACATGCAAGTGGGTTGATGATGATAGATTGCTGCACTGACATATCCTCAGCCATATTGTTACATACTGTTAGTTTTTCTCTAAATATATGATACTGAGAGACCCCTCTTTTTTTTTTTTTTTTTTTTTTTTGGAGGGGAGGGGAGGCTTAGAAAAATTAACACAATTTCTTACATCAAACCATTTTCAAACATGAGTCATTGGTGTGTCGGGCCAACTTTAAATTTGTTATACAAAGGCAAGGTAATCTATCAGTGCAGGTATCTATGCTGAGGTCTCTTGGGATGGAATGGTATATGGAAGAAAAGGGTTTGATGGATCTACTGCTAAGCACCCTGAGTTTCAGAAGAAACTGGAAATACAACTCTCTTCTATCTGCATGCCTCTCTGAAAAACAGGGTGCTACTGAGGGTGTCCAACATTTCGTCAAAAACAAGTTAACCAACACACAATATCTCACACTTCATCACAAAAATCTACACAACTAATTTATTAATAGTACTGCAAAGAAATGAGTTGCAATTTTTGAAGCAGCAGGGGTGGGGATAACACTTTTCACACTCTGAAGACATGTCTTACATTATTATTATTTGTCTTAAGAATGGAACTGGGGTTTGTAACACAAAAATTTGATCAAGGATGCAACACTTCCAGGGTAATTAAGGTTTGTCATCATAATAGTATTGTTGTTTGTTATAAACTTTAAGGGAGTCATAATGACAGAATTTCAACAGCAATTATCATATATCAGTGTACAAATCTTTAATTATACAACCATGATTGTCCTTTTTGGGGCAGCAATTATTTCAAGATTTATTTATTTTTTGTCTTTTTTTTCCAATTATTTCAAGATTAATTAATTTTTTTTTGTCTTTTCTTTTCATAAGTATCATACATGTATTGCTATTATCTACAATGTATAATATTCATTCTATGGTTAAAACTGGCCAGACTCCATTACTGAAGTTACAGATACAAGATAATAAAAATGTATTTCATAAAACTTAATTAGTTTATCGGTTATTCATGAACTACACTCAATGGCTGCAAAAGACATGGGTAACAAACAAAAGCTGGCGTTTTATCAATACAGTGCATAATATAGTGTAAAGTACATGTTCAGAATGAAAATTTGGTCATTGTAATGTATGCTTCCATGAAAAAGTGACATTAATAAAATCACTCCTGTTAGGATAAAGTGTTTTCAAGTTGAAAATGTCTGATATAATTATGGTAAACTGTTGAAGAACACTGTATTTGATAAGACATGCTGCAGAGACAAAACATTATCCTGCATGCAACATCTTGTCCTCTGCTGAACCAAGCAAAGCAGGAGATTGCTTTAGGTTACCTTGAGTGCAACTTGGCTGATCTAAAGTAAAAACATATAGTTCCTAAGTGATAATAGTCAATAACTGAATCTGGCATTTCTGAATAACCAGATGGATTATTCGATATCATCAAATAAATAGTGCTTTTATCATTAAATGATTACTAAAGATAAACCTGTTCCTTGGCAGCTTCAATTTAGCATTGTACAAACCTGGCTCTTGTTACATGTTTTTCTGCTTCTGCAGTTTGGAATCTTCTGGCTGCAGTGGTGGGTCGCGAAAAAAGCACTTCTCCATCTTGAGTATTACATCTGAGAAAAAAATCATCTATGTATAAGGAATGGATGTTATGTGTACTTGCCACCTATACCTTTCATCCTTTTTTTCTTTAATTTTACCACCAAATAATTTTTATTATATCATTATAATAATTGCTTTACAAGTTTTTAGCAAGATATATATAGCTATGAATAAAGTCCGTTGAGTTTTTAAATTTGACATATTTCATACTTACAAAGATGGTCTGGATTCAGTTATTGACTTCATATTATGGTGGCTAGAATATGATAAAAAACAAGTTAATTATTCTATACAAAAGTATTAAAAATGCATAAATTTTAAAAACCTCATGTCCACAGTGTGGAAACTTTATCAAATTACTCAGTATATAATCAAGTAAAATCACTCCAAGGTAATATTGATCTACCTTTGTCTCATTGCTTTTTCATGTTCTAGTTGCTGGAGTTCTCTGGCAGGATGGTGCATAATGGATGCCCGATGATGGTGACTGTCTAATATCCTGATATTCTGAAACAATAAAAAAGAGAAATATTAAGTTGTTTATCATCATGTTAAAGTTCTGTTATTACCAAGGTTAAGCATACAAACTGTTGTAACTCTAAAAAAACATTTTACATCATTCACAATCCAATTCTCTTTGAATTCTGAACCCTGAATTAAAATAAAAACATGAGGTTCACTTTTTTATCTAAAGGTCTTTCAGAAACAAAACTTAACTTCCATAGCTTTAAAAAAAGCTCAGATGGGGGTTTAAATGTTTTATGTGTTATTTGAAGCATTTCCATTATCCCAGGATTCTGGGTCCCTGTATATTACTAAACAAACATTATATGTGGCTATCTTTGTAAGAGGTGTAAGAAAACAGTCCTTATTAATTACACCTGACATAGCAGTGCAAGAAGCCCATAATATATCTCATGCACTTGCTTTGCCAGTATTTAAGTCAGAAATTTCAAAACTCACTGCATTTTCATTTACATAGCTGGATGGGTGAATGCAAAACCACCAAAACCTTTAACATGAATTGTATTTTGCTCATTCATTGGCAAATTATTCTGCTTTCTTGCCTTCATTATTCATCTAAACAAAGTCTTGCACCATATGCAAACACTGTTTATTGAAATGCTATTCTGGTTTATTAGATTTGAAAATGCCACGGCCTGCAGTTGTGGCTTTTATGGCAGATGAAGTGACATTCGCCTAGAATCATAACAGCACACTACATGCTTTAATCTAACTGGCTTGACATATTAAACTTAAATCAGAGTATGCATTTCAGCAGACCACTTCTACTGTCATTCAGTAATGATTATTAATTCATATCTTGTAGATTGAATCACAGAATATATTTGGATCATTGGCACCAGTGTTATTTCTAAAACATTGGAGTTGCACATTTCAGCCAAAAAACATTTCAATAAAAAAGTCAATAAACAATAATTTTTATATGAGTGACAGATTAAGACTGACACTGATTTTGAAGCACAGAAAATAATAAAATTTAAAGTATAAGCTTTCCTGCAATCATTTGAATATCTGTAAACACTGTTTAACACTTTTTAATCCATTTTGTAACATGACAATCCTTTGAGTGGTTCCCACAGTATCTGAATTTGAAAAAAATAATACACGTACAGGTACCTGTAAAAATCTATGTGGACCAATGTAATAATGTATTTTCACATTAAAATTTATAATTTTACATAACTGTACCTGTGTTTAGAAAAATACGAGCAATGATCTTTTTTTTTAACAAAGACGTCGATTTACCAAGAAAAATTAATAACTTACAAAATATCAAAATACCCCAACTGTACTTATGTATACTGAATTCTTAGATATATTAAATGTCTTCAACGACTTTCAGATGCTCTGCATGTTATGAAACACAGAAAAAACTAAAGATATTAATCAAAATAAATAACATCTTTTAATTTCAATTGTCCCAAGCTCTCATCCTTTAAAATATGTGGTTCACAAGAATCTTTGTCGATATTCAGATTTTCCTAAAAGCTTTCTCACTGAAGTGCCATTATGTTATTAGAGGGGTATCACCACCACAATCTATCCACTCTCACTATCACTATTTACTTTGCAAGTTGATCGGCTCTGTCACACATGAAATCCCCATTCAGTAAATATCCCAGTTAAAAGGTGAGCAGCATCACCACACACCTCAAAGTGGATGTAATTTAATTCTTGAACAAACAAAATTATAAGAGAAACTTCTTGTGATTGGCACTTCGCTGAGAAACAAAAACATGTGTCTCTACTTTTGAGTAAGGGGGAGATTTTGGAGTAACAATATTAAATGTGCTTTTTTCTTTACAAACCTTCACTTTATGCTGGTAAATACATATAACAAGAAGAATATATAACATATTTGTACCAACAGTAACTGTACTTTTTGTAGTTAAAAAAAAATTAATAAGTTATGAACATACATTGCAATAATTGGCGATACATCTTGATAACATGAATATGAAAAAAAAAAAAACAAACTTTACTGACAGAAACAGACCAGACATTAATTAAACTACATGCTATTAATGACAAGCATGTTTACTTATTAAGAATTCCAAATGCAAATGTCAACTCCCATAGCATCAGCACATAAAAGATCTGCATATATAATTAAATCAATAACTAGGAGAATTCTTGTCAAAATAGAAAACGTTCCAATTAAATGCAATAAAAATTGTTACAGAAAAAGGTGCATGTGGTCTTTAGTGAATATGCTCCAGTTATAGTTTCTACAGTCCAATAATCCTTTGGCAATTGGTCTGCCTAATAATTTATTAAACCTCCCTGCGTGTATCTTGTAGAGTGTTAAATCAAGAAACGTATAACCAGACTTATATAAATGTTATATTGCCATTTTGTAGAACCTTGAGTTTCAAAATCTATTGAAAATTAATCTCTTCTTTAACCAGTGCTTAGCTAAGCAATATCACAGATCATATACATGGCAGATGAGAGTCACCAAAGCTCTGAAACTTAAGGCGCACATACATGAACATGTGGTGTAATTGGTGCACAGGTACTAAACTTTAAGTATCTTTAAATCATCTTTATTTGATCACAAATTAATGCACCTGTTTGCTTTCAGACCAACTTGTCTATACAACAAATAGCAGGAGCCTTTCGCCTACATGTTGACTCAGACCATGCATTTATTGGCACTTTCTATTTTGCACGGAAATATTTCATTTGTCTACTGAGAATGAATGTCCTAATATTCACAATCCAATCTGAGTATGCATTGTTATAGATGAAAACATGCATACACAATGCGAGTGAACAGGTAGCTATAAAACACTGTTGTTCTGCTTTTAACATTCTTTATGTTAGAAATGATAGTTTTTACATATTTTAAGGATGTTTTATTTTGCTTTTGGATACTTGAAACTTTCTTTTAAAAATAAACCTCATTGCAATCACAAATTTTTAATTAAAACATGTTCAGATGCAGCTCTCAGTAGCTATACTCCAAATGAAAATCCAATAAACACTGATGCTTTTAAGTATGGCAAAAAAAATCCCATCTAGCAACCACAACAGCCTGTCAAGACCAAACAGGTGACCAGTTTAAATCTATATAATTAAGAGGATATAACAAAAGCTCTTGACGTTATTGTTGCCCCCACAAACATCAATTGACACATAGCCTACGGCGAATCCAAATGGTTCTTTTCTTGAATATTTGCTGACAAATATAGCTTAATTCAACAAGGCCATGAAATGTGTTCCAAAACCAGCTAGCGTAATCACTGGAATTTGTTGGGCAGTATACCTTCTATAATATGTAATATCCTTTTAGTAGACAAATGTAGTATTCTTTGAATGGAAAAGAGAATTAATTTTTATATGCTGAAATAACTGCATCATTTTAGATGAAAAATGGCTGTCAACTAGCACTCATAATAGGTATTTCATAATGTATTAAAAACTTTTATAAAGCTCTTTTTCATGTTTAAAAAATATGCAAAAAGGTAACATCAAAAATGGTTACCTAAACAATAATGCTGCTACATGATTAAGAATCCAATTATGTGCAAATAATTAATAAAATTACATCTTAGAACCAAGCATTTATGCAATTTGAAATGAGACACATTGATTTCTTCTTCTCTTCTAGATGTACCATGGAGCAATTATCTTGTTAGTTTGGCCAGACTTGCTGATTTGATCCAGGTGTTATCTAATTATCAGGTGTCTGCACTCTCAACATAAGTCACATCATCTTCTGAGCTTCTGATTTAATTAGGAATACTCATTTATTTAGTGACTACAGAGCATAAAATACTGCTCAGATTGAAATGATATAGGACATGACAGCTAGAAGATTTATTTCATATGGACAACAGAACAACAGGTTTAACATGATAAACTAGAAATAAGACATATTTGCACAAAAATGTCTGTTTACTATGCTTGAATCTTTGGACACAACAAAAATGTTTTCTTTTTTTTTTTTATTAAATTTAGAGGCAATGTATAATCACATTTTGCCACATTTGTAATTCAAATAACATTGAATATGAAATACTAATGCTAGTATAATTTTTTCTGGAACCACCTAATTTTTAACATTTTTGAAGTTCAAATGTGTATTGCTTGTCAAAGTATACCTATTTCAAGTTCAAGTCAATTAACTTTGTGTCCTTTTAATTCCAATCAAATAATATGCTCAGAACAAAAATATATCATTCTATGCAAATCAAAATTTTCAGGGCAACTATTTGTTATATGACAAAATTTGACAACTAATTCCATACAAAATGGCACTTTACAAAAAAATTAAGTTTTTTTTTATATGAATGATATATGTTATTTTTCATTTATCTAATTTTGTTCTCTTTCATTTTTAAAATGGTTCAGGTTTCTCATATTCTATTTCCATGATTAAAAAGATCTCCGGATCTCAATGTATCAATTAATGTTTAAATTCATATGTTTTATCATATTTTCATCTTCAGTCCTCAATTCTCACATATCATATTAAAAAAAAGAAAAGTGAACAAGTTTATGAAGGCATGAATCTAACACAAGCTGTGTTTTGTAAGGATATATATATATATATATATATATATATATATATATATATATATATATATATTGCAATTTGCAATTACTTCTCCCCACTTCTCTATGATTCTGATATAATTCTGGCTTTCATTTTTGTTCTAAAAGGTGTTAGTTGACTTATTCCAGAAGTAACTTAAGGTGTTGGGATAATAAAAACACAGTAACCATAGAGCCCAGCAGTTACCTCACAGTGGCCTTCGTAATCATTTACAAGGCAGGTGATTACAACCTAATACTGGAAGTATTTTTCTGTTGTTTTAGAGTCAAAGGCACTTGTGTTGATACTCTGCGATTTCTGTTATTTCACTTCTATCTGGCCATAATTCATAATACCTCTGCTAAGGTTCTCTATTGACTGATTTTTGCTTCACCCACCCAGGGCTTTTCACCTGTTGTTTACACAGGGGGACCTTACACAACTCAACTGAAGCAAAACAGTTATGGTAAATGCAATAAATGCAGGATCTTATGACACTACAATTCATTTTAACTTTTGCTACTGCCGTGCAGCATTTAACATCAACTCAGCTAACAAATATGTATTGTTATCTTGAAAAACCTCCACAAACTTTGACAAAAGATGTAAAGAATCAGCAACCAAGGCCAAAGCAATTTCCATGTTATCTTTTCATTTTCAGTTCTGCAAACGTGAAAGTAGATATGTCCCACTGCTGCAGGGGTCATGCCACATTCATTTGGGGGGTTAAATGCCTATTGGTTCTTTCTACCCTGGAATATGACTTATGTACTGATGTTGTCATGGACGACAAATATACAACAATGACCACAAACCCATCTGACTGACCCTCTGACTGCATGGCCATACCTACATGTACTGACCACAAATATATCAGACCTTGCCATCAAGCTACAAAACTTTCCCCTTTGGCTTAAGAATGAAATCAACTTTTCTTTAAAAAAATGAAGAAAAGAGAATTATGGCTATAACACACTTGAATGAAAATATCTAATAAACATAAAAAATGTACAGATTCATTTTTTCTCTTCAAAGAAATTGGCACTTTTAAAATGAGACTACATACTACTGGTGAAACAATATCACTTTTATAGCTGCTTAAGAAAATCAGCCAATGCTTGTGCTATCTAATTAGTATGCTCTAGTGGGAGACTAATACTAAGCTTTCCTCCAGACATATGCATCTGGTCCCAACTCCCAGCTATTCCATTGGAAAAAACATATATTATAATTTTCTGGTAAACTGGGTTTTATCTTGATATAAAAACTATCAATCAACATCTTTGATTTAAGCTACTTATCAGTCAAGTAATATGTTTTTTAATAAACATATTACATTTTAACTACTGCCCTTTATCAGAGTTTAGCACTATGACATTACATAATTTCAGTAAAATTATATCAAAAATAATTTCTAAAATTGTATGAAACAACCAAACCTTTAAAGATGTCTGGATTATTGGAAGATTAGCTTAATCAGGAAACTAAGATTTCCTGACCTAAGTCACCAGCAACATGTCTAGAAGAGAACATTTACATAATGGTTTGGGATTTAAGGCATTAATAAAGAGTAATCTTTTTACCTTTTAAACTTTGCCATAGCAGTCTACAACATTTTAAGAATGCATCACTTAACCAGTTTGAATTTCACAAACTCTAACATCAAGAAACTATTTTCAACTCCTACTGGTTGCCTCTATCATTGAACAAATCAACTAAACTGTGACACCTACTAGTATTAATAAAACTCAAGTACCACATAAATTTGAAATAAAGCAAAGAGAGAAGAATATCATTATAAATAAGATATTGATCATTCTACCCAAACTGTGCAATATGCATAATTAATCTCCCTGGCACATCCTACAAAATGGTAAGGCATAATACACATTCAATAAATTTCCCAGCAGAGACTGTGCAGTCTTTATTTAATACGCATAACAATAGTAGTTACTTCATTCAGGGCTGTGTAAATGAGGCAGCATAGCCTATCTTCATTATCTCCAGAAAGAGCACTTGTCCTTCTGATATGATAAGCACATACAGTAATCAATAGTAAATTGCACTGGAAAGATGTTTCATCAAATGAAGATGTGCACGTACAAGTATATTGTACTAATCATGACATCTTTCTCTTTGTGTCCACAAATGAACCAGGGCACATCTAGCACCCTGAGATCTTGAGTTAAATGGATCTTAAGCACCTTGTGCTGCTGACGTATGACATATATTTAACTAAAATATACTACTGCCATTCACTTATTATATATTAACAATGATTTTCTAACACTGATTTATGGGTTTCATCCTTATTTTCATGATAATATGAAAAATAGCTAATCTCTGTAATTCATACTCACCGGGACACTTCCTCCTCCATCACCACCACTGACTTGTGCCTTCTTCTTGCACCACCAGCCATTATCTTGACAGTACGCCAAGAGCACCATTAGAGGAAAAAATAACAATGTTACAACAGCCTCCCAAATGTCAATGATGCCTTTCGTGTTCCAGTTGACAACTACAAGCATCCACACATAAGCAAATATAGACCAAATAGATGTCTGTATGAACACACCAACTTCCCGCACCTTTTTTACTTGAGGGTATGGTACGCTAATGATACATATTGAAGTAATCATAAGTAAATTAAATGCAGCACTTCCAATGATTGTAAAAACACCTAAGCTATCTTCAATTGATTGGGTTGGTGATAATTTTCTAATGCCCTCAACAATTGCCAGGAGAATTTCTGGGGCACTGCTTCCAAGAGCCATCAAAGTCAAATTGGCAACAGTTTCATTCCAGATAAGGATCTTCCTTTCTATTTTTTCCTGCTTTTCTTCATCCCACTTTATAACAGTCTTCTTTTTACTTGTGATAACTTCTATAGAACCCATAAAAATATCACTAGCAATGGCAACACCTATAAACAAGTAAAGCATTGCTACTATGTACAAGATACCGCGTAGATATAAGTTCCATAAGTTCTCTGCTGGTAGGAGAATAAAGCTTTCACATGGTGCAGTACCATTATCCGTTGTTTCAATGATCCAACCATTAGTGAAGTTGGTATAGTGGAATGTCTTTGCAACCGCCATGATTGTCTTCTTTTCTAAAAACACAAAAACAGAGTTTATTGGAAAACCAATCTGTAAAAGATATGCTACCAAAGCCAATTTTATTTGGAAAATAAAAAGAAAAAATTCTGTAAAAGGTAATCCACCAAAATCATTTTAATTTTCAATTCTTTTTAAAACATATTGAAGCAGTATACACATAAATCAGATTTCTGACTGACTAATTCTTCTCTACAAATTTAGTGTAAGAACCAGTTCAATTGGTAGTCAATAATTACATCAATCCCCATTGACAATTAAAGTTACTCAAAGTGCTGTTGCTTGTCAAATTAATGGATGTATTGATTTCAGATCTCAGGCATTGAAAGAGAATTTTTTACCATTAACATTAACATTCAAACAGATGGCAATGGAACACATAAAGGTCAAGTTTGGAGATTTATAAAAGTCACTTTGTCATCTAATACTCTGTTTCATATAGTTGTCAGTCAATAATACATTTTAATTAACAATTATAATTTCTCTATGTTCAATTATAAAAAATATCAGAACTTAAATACATATACTTTTAACTGTAAGATTTTGTAATTCTTAGTAAAGATAATAATTATAAATATTATTAAATAACCATCTGGTGGTCATATGAATGAAATGAAAGCTGAAGACTTCAATTATATTCAGACAAAAAAAAACACAGGCAGTTACAATGTAATTTTCACATATGGAACTAGGTAATTAAGGATCCATTTCTTTTCTGCGACTAGAGCATCAAATGAAGTTTTCAAAAAAGCAATCAATACAATTGATAGTATGTTCCCATGACTATAAGGAAAGGCATTACAATGGGAAATGTATGCTTTGAATTAAATATTCATCACTCCTCCTGCATAAAATTATTTTATCTCACTTATATGCTGTGGTGCATGGTACACTGGAGTTCTTTGCATAAAATTTAACTTTCATCATTGATGGAAATTTGAAAAGCGACAGAAATTATTACATCTGTAGCAGCCAAAAAAGGGTAAATCAGGTAAACATTTTGCTGATAAGTAGTTACATATAGGTAATTTAAATCTAATGGGGTTTGAAGAACAAATCTGTTTACAATGTTCTCCATAAGATTAAGTTAATGACAAACAAACACCTTTATCAAAAGGCCCCTGACTGTGAATGATTTTTGAAGTCAACAGATATAATATATTTTGTTGTCTTATGATGAGAAAAAGAAACAGGTATAGAAGAACAGAAGTTTGAAAATGAAGACAGCATAAACTGCATTAAAATAGAAAAAAATATAAACAAAACTGATCTTCATCCTTAACAAAACTAATTTACCAAAGCAAAACAACATATGACAACAGCCTGACTCTAGTTAAACTTACCTATTCAAGTCAAATCCAAAAAAATGTTGGACAACAGGTGTCCTATTTGTGGCTATGCTCAAACCACAAGTGCGTAATGTCTGGTTGGTTGGCTCAAAATGTCCTAAGTCTTGGTCGCAAAGCCCAATTATTGTTCTTACTTTCACCCGCCTGTCATCTCGTATCCCCGAGTTTTTCCTACAAATAACTTTTTTTTTTCAAAAACGGAGATGATTATTCAGCTAAAAAAGGGACTGCATGAACAACTTACAACTTATGAAATCTTCCCGTAACACCGCTAACCAACAGGACTCGGTGCCAAAATGTAAGGCAGAACATTGACCATGCACACAAGCCTCGATTTACGCTTGGTTTATTCTCTGTCGATCAATGTCTCATACGAACTTGAACAAATACAGATCAACAGAACGTGAATAGCGCCTGCTGTATTAACTATACAACATACCTGGCAACTCCAACCCATAGACTCTGTATATAAAGCCATAATATTGATCAAACAAAGCCTTAGTAGTAGGCCCCCTCGAAACAGTCACCATAGCGCACACAGTGAAGTGACGTCATTGCAAAACTGGCACTTGCTTGCCTCGAGGAATTGTAAATTTTAGGAAATCGGGCGGGGAACTGAGTTTTGTTTTAATAGTAGTATTCATCTTGGGATGATATGAAAGAGACGAAAAAATGATACAAGAAATCGCCCAAAAGACCAATAAACTTTACAGTGGTAGTCGGGCAGCCTAATCAACCCTCCCAAAGCATGAACATACTTTCTGAATCATCTTTCTATTACTTAAAACAGCTACATGTACAAGTAGGCCCCTGCCGGTCAGAAACTGCGATGTTAACAATCTTGTTTTATGAACATGGTTACCTCTCATTCAAATACGCAAAAACGAAACAAAACAAAACAAAAAAATCCTAAAAATGTGATGAAGTTATCAAAAAGACCGAAACGGTTGGTGCTGCAACCGTTCCTCTTGTCAACGTAAATGTTTTCACGCCTTACGGGCCATTTCATAATAAAATCACGTGTTATGGCACAGGGTTAGCAAACCAGGTACATGTAACTAGGCTGCCCAAAAAATAAACAATGAACAATTAGTAAAAAGAAAATATAAACTTAAACAATGCCCGACACAGCAACGGACATTCTGAGAAAAAGTGAGAAGGACTTAAGGTCTCCTTATTTTCGAAATTAGAAATAAGATGTTTACCGATCCTATCATGTATGCAGAAAAAAAGTAGTTTTTTCAAAATAAGTTTATGATCTTAAGTAAAATTTGTATGGTGATAAAATTTTGGATTTTCATAATAAGCACAGCTTTGTAAATTTCCATTCCTCGTCTAGGCACATTTTTGACATAATCTTTACAGACCAAATTTTGTTCACCATTATCTTATGGATTGAACTTGGGTTTTCAACAGACATAACCATGCCCTCAAAGATACGCAAAAAACGACAATGGCCTTTTTTGAACTGGACATTTCCAAAATGCAGTTATCCTTGCAAAATGATAAAAGGTTTTCATAAGCGTCTGTAAAAAGGGAAAGCCCGAAAGCCCTTAACTCCACGTAGGCTACAAGATATTATATTAGACAAAAATAGTTGAAAATTGGCGTGCACATTGCCAATTGTCCTTTCACACGTGTAGCCTTTAAACGTGAACACATATAACATTTTCAGAATATTGATGGATCGATATTTTTTTCTGCAGTCATTCTTTACCTTTGTAAGATCATTCTGTGTTGATTAAATGTTTCACGCTCGGACTTTTTTAATCAGATAACGATGTCGGAACAACGGCACCTAAGGGATAACACAGTATATTTTAATTTTGGTTAAAACCACAACTTTTTTTAAAATATTCAAAATAAATTCTGCCGCAGTGGAAAAAATGTTAACATTTTTTTCATATTGACTTTAAGAGGGTCGAATCATTTTGGCCCAGAAAATAAAATATAAACACGGAAAAAAATTAGGAAAGTACACGGCAACATACGCAGGTAATGTGTCTGTCTGGTCTGACCGGTACAGACGGTGGGTCTGCCATTGAACTGGATTGTATTGATCCATGGCAATTACGAGAAATCCGTTTCCCCATAGTAATAAATACGGAGTTAGTTATCTCCGTGACAAAAATCCATAAAAATATTTTAACATGTATCAAATACATTTTGAAAAACATAGCACGAAAAATAACAAAACCAAATTAAGGATCAAGTGACGTGAATTATACAGAAATCCTATTAGAACCATATTGATAAAAAGCATCATTTTCCCCATACCAATCATACTTTTTAACCGGCTTATACGAGTTCTATTCAGAATCGAAACAGAGCACAAGTCTGTTAATCTATCGTTCATCATGTGACCAAAAACAGCAAACCCCCCGAAAAGCAAAAAGAACCGACCTTCTTAAATTCATAGAACACTCGTGAATGCACTCCGATGGCATTAGCTTATTGTTTAACAATCAGGGCTGTGGTTTGACAAGATTGTGATGATGCCTTATGGGGACGAAAAACCCAGGTTAGTAGGGTTAAATAAGCGTAAGCTGAATCAAACGACCAACAAGCATGGGTTCGAATTCACAATCATGAAAAATGAATTCTTGTCATTATCTCGTTTTATTAACCCGATACATGTATATGGACGCCAGGATAGCCGCAATCGCGCTCGCAATACCACCTTGCGAACTTGACCCACGGTTGACGTTTATAGTTTAGCACGTTGTGTAGTTGTATTTGCTCTGTTGCTTATTTTTTCATAAGTAATGACTGTTATGATCTTCTCAATAAAACCTGACATTTTGGCTTATTCTAATTAAAATACATAATGCCTCAATCGTAACATTTAAGCTGCACAAAGCCGGTCCATCACTGTGAGTGGGATCCCATACCTAGATCGAGCTAACAGAATCGATCCATCCCCGAGTGGTTTCTCGCTAAATTGCTTTCAGCTTAAGCGGCTTAGATGTCTGGCACACCTACTAAAGCTGCTAAACGATAATTAATTATCCCCTAGCAGCTTCAGTAGGCGTGGCAGACACCTAAGCTGCTTAAGTTGATTGCAATTTAGCCAGAATCCCTCGGAGATAGATCGATCCAAAGTTATTACGATAGGGTCTGGAATGGTCCCTACAGTTATTACCTCCGCCAAGTTTATGTTTTCACCTGTTTGTTTGTCTGTCTGTCTGTCATCAACATAACTCAAAAAGTTATGGATGAATTTCGATTGAATTTTCAGGGTAGGTCAGAAATGGGTTAACTTAGAAGTGATTAGTTTTTGGTGGTGATCTGGATCAATAATCAATCAATAATCAAAAATAATTAATCTAAGTTATTGACCCACTTTGAGGAAATTTTCAGGAACTGTCAGAAGTGGGCCAAGGAACAGATGTTTAGTTTTTGGTGATCCAGATAAATAATCAATCAATAATCAATCAAAAATAAAAAACTAAGTTATGGACCGATTTTGATGAAATTATCAGGAACTGTCAGTAGTGGGCCAAGTAACAGATGATTAGTTTTTGGTGGTGATTCGGATCAATAATCAATCAATCAATAATCAAAAATAAAAAAACTAAATCATTAAAGAATGAAAATTTCGGGGTGAAACGGCATTGGATGGAGACTTTGCTGTCTTGGCAGGGTCTGCGCTCTCTGAGTGCTTTTCTAGTAATAACATTCGTTTTGACTAAACCAGAGTGCAGACATCTCCAGCAGGCCCCTACTAGTCATTTTGGTAAACCAGTTACAGTTGTTGTTACCTCCACTAAGGAGGTAATGTTTTTGCCTTTGTTAGATTGTTAGGTAATAGCCTAACTTAATAAATAATGGACGGAATTTTGTTTTAGTATAGGTCAGAAATGGACTAACTTGGAATTGATTATACTTTGACAGTGGTTAATAATAATAATAACAATAATAATAATGTCAATTATGCAGTCTTGGCGGAGGTCTGGGCTCTCGGAGTGATTGTCTAGCTATAGTTGGCTCCTACTCCGGGGCCCAACTTTTTATATCTCCAGATAGCTACACTAGAAGTGATCAGTTAAAACCTAAATAAGTAATATGCTGGGATTTTTGCAGTCATTATGATTATTTGCAAGTCCATTGCATTAAGTCATAAGATCTTTCCTTTATTTCTTTTTTGACAGTCTGTGCTTATATCTCAAAGGTATGTTAAATCTTTTGAAAAACAAGAAAGAAAAAAAAAAAACTCCCCTGCTAAAAAAATTCCATTTTAGGATGATGAAAATGGTAAGTGGATGAAAGTTAACATTTGAAATAAAGTAATCATTTTACCCCCCCCCCCCCTTAACCATTTCATTTTTTTTAGCAATGTAGAAGAGATAAAAAGGTTTTCAAATGGAAAACATCCAATGACACATTTCCAGATGGTTGTACCATTACAGTAATTTTCCTGATGAAGAATTTAATTACCCCCTTTCCAAATATTTCATGCGCATTATCAGATATTCAGCCTGGGCATCACTGTTTTTTAGAAGCCAACCTTTACAACTAGTGTGCAAGTGAAATGGCTATAAAGAGCATATAGAGAAGTGACAATCTGGGACATCAACCGTATAGAGAAGTGATAATCTTAATCAATGCAGCAATTTGCATATTTGTATTTCTTTAATATAAATATATATATTTCTACATTAATTTTTTGAAAAAAAAAATGCATTTTTACTTGCAGTATGAAGCATTTTTGTCTTGTCCCTTGTACGTAGCAGTTAAAGCTAACTTTAACTTTACATCACTAGCATTACTGTGTCAACTACCCCTGAAGACAAATTTTGTCAAAACACAAGCTTGTTACTGAGTGACATCGCATGAGGGAAGTTAAAATATCTTGGATGAATACTTAATGTTTTGCTGTCTGTAAAAAAACATTCATAATATCAAATGACATTTTCGGGAACCAATGTTAACTTGAAAAAATACAATGCAAATCCCACTCAGTTCACTATCATGCACTACACAAAATTATCACAAGTAATTTTTATATCACTTATTTTAAAACACAGTGCAGAGAAGACAAATGCTCTTTTTTCACTAGTCAAAAGACCAATGTAACCATTTACAGAGAGATTCCTAGGAATGTTCACTTTCACAAAATGACTGGTCTAAAGAAAAAATAAAATGGAAAATTGCCACCCTCTTCTAAGAATTTTATCATAGATATTTCTGGCAAAAAGTTAACATCTACTTCTTTGTCATGAAATGCATTCATTTTAATACAATNTGGGGTGATATAAAAGAGACGAAAAAATGATACAAGAAATCGCCCAAAAGACCAATAAACTTTACAGTGGTAGTCGGGCAGCCTAATTAAACCCTCCCAAAGCATGAACATACTTTCTGAATCATCTTTCTATTACTTAAAACAGCTACATGTACAAGTAGGCCCCTGACGGTCAGAAACTGCGGTGTTAACAATCTTGTTTTGTGAACATGGTTACCTCTCATTCAAATACGCAAAAACGAAACAAAACAAAACAAAAAAATCCTAAAAATGTGATGAAGTTATCAAAAAGACCAAAACGGTTGGTGCTGCAACCGTTCCTCTTGTCAACGTAAATGTTTTCACGCCTTACGGGCCATTTCATAATAAAATCACGTGTTATGGCACAGGGTTAGCAAACCAGGTACATGTAACTAGGCTGCCCAAAAAATAAACAATGAACAATTAGTAAAAAGAAAATATAAACTTAAACAATGCCCGACACAGCAACGGACATTCTGAGAAAAAGTGAGAAGGACTTAAGGTCTCCTTATTTTCGAAATTAGAAATAAGATGTTTACCGATCCTATCGTGTATGCAGAAAAAAAAGTAGTTTTTTTTTTCAAAATAAGTTTATGATCTTAAGTAAAATTTGTATGGTGATAAAATTTTGGATTTTCGTAATAAGCACAGCTTTGTAAATTTCCATTCCTCGTCTAGGCACATTTTTGACATAATCTTTACAGACCAAATTTTGTTCACCATTATCTTATGGATTGAACTTGGGTTTTCAACAGACATAACCATGCCCTCAAAGATACGCAAAAAACGACAATGGCCTTTTTTGAACTGGATATTTCCAAAATTAGAGGAAATGCAGTTATCCTTGCAAAATGATAAAAGGTTTTCATAAGCGTCTGTAAAAAGGGAAAGCCCGAAAGACCTTAACTCCACGTAGGCTACACGATATTATATTAGACAAAAATAGTTGAAAATTGGCGTGCACATTGCCAATTGTCCTTTCACACGTGTAGCCTTTAAACGTGAACACATATAACATTTTCAGAATATTGATGGATCGATATTTTTTTCTGCAGTCATTCTTTACCTTTGTAAGATCATTCTGTGTTGATTAAATGTTTCACGCTCAGACTTTTTTAATCAGATAACGATGTCGGAACAACGACACCTAAGGGATAACACAGTATATTTTAATTTTGGTTAAAACCACAACTTTTTTTTCAAATATTCAAAATAAATTCTGCCGCAGTGGAAAAAATGTTAACATTTTTTTCATATTGACTTTAAGAGGGTCGAATCATTTTGGCCCAGAAAATAAAATATAAACACGGAAAAAAATTAGGAAAGTACACGGCAACATACGCAGGTGATGTGTCTGTCTGGTCTGACCGGTACAGACGGTGGGTCTGCCATTGAACTGGATTGTATTGATCCATGGCAATTACGAGAAATCCGTTTCCCCATAGTAATAAATGCGGAGTTAGTTATCTCCGTGACAAAAATCCATAAAAATATTTTAACATGTATCAAATACATTTTGAAAAACATAGCACGAAAAATAACAAAACCAAATTAAGGATCAAGTGACGTGAATTATACAGAAATCCTATTAGAACCATATTGATAAAAAGCGTCATTTTCCCATACCAATCATACTTTTTAACCGGCTTATACGAGTTCTATTCAGAATCGAAATAGAGTACAAGTCTGTTAATCTATCGTTCATCATGTGATCAAAAACAGCAAACCCACGAAAAGCAAAAAGAACCGACCTTCTTAAATTCATAGAACACTCGTGAATGCACTCCGATGGCATTAGCTTATTGTTTAACAATCAGGGCTGTGGTTTGACGAGATTGTGATGATGCCTTATGGGGACGAAAAACCCAGGTTAGTAAGGTTAAATAAGCGTAAGCTGAATCAAACGACCAACAAGCATGGGTTCGAATTCACAATCATGAAAAATGAATTCTTGTCATTATCTCGTTTTATTAACCCGATACATGTATATGGACGCCAGGATAGCCGCAATCGCGCTCGCAATACCACCTCGCGAACTTGGCCCATGGTTGACGTTTATAGTTTAGCACGTTGTGTAGTTGTATTTGCTCTGTTGCTCATTTTTTCACAAGTAATGACTGTTATGATCTTCTCAATAAAACCTGACATTTTGGCTTATTCTAATTAAAATATATAATGCCTCAATCGTTACATTTAAGCTGCACAAAGCCGGTCCATCACTGTGAGTGGGATCCCATACCTAGATCGAGCTAACAGAATCGATCCATCCCCGAGTGGTTTCTCGCTAAATTGCTTTCAGCTTAAGCGGCTTTTATGTCTGGCACACCTACTCAAGCTGCTAAACGATAATTAATTATCCCCTAGCAGCTTCAGTAGGCGTGGCAGACACCTAAGCTGCTTAAGTTGATTGCAATTTAGCCAGAATCCCTCAGAGATAGATCGATCCACAGTTATTACGATAGGGTCTGGAATGGTCCACACAGTTATTACCTCCGCCAAGGTTATGTTTTCACCCGTTTGTTTGTCTGTCTGTTTGTTATCAACACAACTCAAAAAGTTATGGATGAATTTCGATTGAATTTTCAGGGTAGGTCAGAAATGGGTTAACTTAGAAGTGATTAGTTTTTGGTGGTGATCTGGATCAATAATCAATCAATAATCAAAAATAATTAATCTAAGTTATTGACTGATTTTGATGAAATTATCAGGAACTGTCAGTAGTGGGCCAAGGAACAGGTGATTAGTTTTTGGTGGTGATCCGGATCAATAATTAATCAATCAATAATCAAAAATAAAAAAACTAAATCATTAAAGAATGAAAATTTCGGGGTGAAACAGCATTGGATGGAGACTATGCTGCCTTGGCAGAGGTCTGCACTCTCAGAGTGCTTTTCTAGTAATAACATTCGTTTTGACTAAACCAGAGTGCAGACGTCTCCAGCAGGCCCCTACCAGTCATTTTGGTAAACCAGTTACAGTTGTTGTTACCTCCACTAAGAAGGTAATGTTTTTGCCTTTGTTAGATTGTTAGGTAATAGCCTAACTTAATAAATAATGGATGGAATTTTGTTTTAGTATAGGTCAGAAATGGACTAACTTGGAATTGATTATACTTTGACAGTGGTTAATAATAATAATAATAATAATAATAATGTCAATTATGCAGTCTTGGCGGAGGTCTGGGCTCTTGGAGTGATTGTCTAGCTATAGTTGGCTCCTACTCCGGGGCCCAACTTTTTATATCTCCAGATAGCTACACTAGAAGAGATCAGTTAAAACCTAAATAAGTAATATGCTGGGATTTTTGCAGTCATTATGATTATTTGCAAGTCCATTGCATTAAGTCATAAGATCTTTCCTTTATTTCTTTTTTGACAGTCTGTGCTTACATCTCAAAGGTATGTTAAATCTTTTGAAAAACAAGAAAGAAAAAAAACTCCCCTGCTAAAAAAATGCCATTTTAGGATGATGAAAATGGTAAGTGGATGAAAGTTAACATTTGAAATAAAGTATTCATTTTAGCCCCCCCCCCTTAACCATTTCATTTTTTCTAGCAATGTAGAAGAGATAAAAAGGTTTTCAAATGGAAAACATCCAATGACACATTTCCAGATGGTTGTACCATTACAGTAATTTTCCTGATGAAGAATTTAATTACCCCCTTTCCAAATATTTCATGCGCATTATCAGGTATTCAGCCTGGGCATCACTGTTTTTTAGAAGCCAACCTTTACAACTAGTGCGCAAGTGAAATGGCTATAAAGAGCATATAGAGAAGTGACAATCTGGGACATCAACCGTATAGAGAAGTGATAATCTTAATCAATGCAGCAATTTGCATATTTGTATTTTTTAATATATATATATATATATATATATATATATATATATATATATATATATATATATATATATTTCTACATTAATTTTTTGAAAAAAAATGCATTTTTACTTGCAATATGAAGCATTTTTGTCTTGTCCCTTGTACGTAGCAGTTAAAGCTAACTTTAACTTTACATCACTAGCATTACTGTGTCAACTACCCCTGAAGACAAATTTTGTCAAAACACAAGCTTGTTACTGATTGACATCGCATGAGAGAAGTTAAAATATCTTGGATGAATACTTAATGTTTTGCTGTCTGTAAAAAAACATTCATAATATCAAATGACATTTTCGGGAACCAATGTTAACTTGAAAAAATACAATGCAAATCCCACTCAGTTCACTATCATGCACTACACAAAATTATCAAAAGTAATTTTTATATCACTTATTTTAAAACACAGTGCAAAGAAGACAAATGCTCTTTTTTCACTACTCAAAAGACCAATGTAACCATTTACAGAGAGATTCCTAGGAATGTTCACTTTCACAAAATGACTGGTCTAAAGAAAAAATAAAATGGAAAATTGCCACCCTCTTCTAAGAATTTTATCATGGATATTTCTGGCAAAAAGTTAACATCTACTTCTTTGTCATGAAATGCATTCATTTTAATACAATGCATAATTTAACACATCATTCTAAAAAAATGAATTCTCACAAACCCCCAAACTCCCCCACATAAAGCTACATTAAGCATCTTTATTGTACATGCTGTATTATGTCTGGAGAAACACATTTAGTGTTTCTTTTAACTTCCTTTGGCTTCAAATTTTATACAGTATGCTTTTAGTCATCCATCAACATCCTCTTCTGCCTCACTAGTACTGTCATCTAATCCATTAACCTTTTCCTCAGGGAGTGCTTCACTGGTGCTGCTGTCATTTAAGCTTGCTGAACCAAGTAATATGTAGTCAAGACCCTGTAAAGATATATGAGCATGATATTTGGTGTGGGGCTCCATAACACATTTAAGATATCAAAGCAAACACACACGAGTCAAAATGATCCCTTAACATGCAGACATATCAATTTGGATCTCTATTTTGTGAAACTTTGAACAAGATCAAGTCAAACAGTTAAAATTTCATTTGACCAAAGTTGTTTATTCTGCATGTCCATGTTAAGATAACATAGTAGCAAATGATGTGTACAAATGTAGAAAAAATTGAAACTCTTTTGATGATTTGCACACAACATTGCAAAATGTAGTCTGTAAGGTGCCCCCCAAATATTGTTTCAAACCATTTCCATAACTGCGACTGTAATTTATGTTTATAGATTTTATTTTAAAAAGTTTAAAACTATAAATTTTGGAGATCTTTAACCACACTAAATGTGCCAATTTTTTATCATGTCAGTAAAAAGACATAACTCTGTTCTTCCGAACAATTTATACTTTTTAACCAATTGGAAGGCCTATACTGTCATGAATAAGGCTAATTTGAACTTGACCTTTGTAAATGGATTGTGTTGTCTGCTGAGCAGTATTCATTAGTGCTTGATCTCCCTGCTTTCCTTTGCAGTTGTTTATGATAGTAATGGTCAATGTCACAAGAGAGGATGCGTAAATTTGACTGCTCCTATTGGCTGGCCAACTCACCATATTGATAGGAAAATTGGTTCAGTCTAAGTGTTCAAATCACAGCAAAATGACAAAGAATATGAAGTTAATGAACCCAAAAGTAATTATTTTGGGACATTTGGGGTTTATAACACTCCAAATATTTTAAACTTGCAAAAATGGAACAGCATACTCATTTCTAAATGTATTTTTAGGCTAGACCTTATGGACTCATGTGACACATTGCAGATCAGAACAGGTTCAATACCTTTCAAATGCTTACGTACTAGTACTTTAAAGTCTTCTTCAAGGTTGTGGCATTAATTGCAGTTTTTTTCAACTGCAGAGAAGTCTATGATTATCAAACAATCATATATGCTCTATGTATATTTAGGAATTGTTAACTGCAGTTGTTTAGTTACAAGTACCACTTTGTTTAATGACATAATATTAAATGTAGCCAAATGGTATAACAAATGATTATTTAAACTATTACTCTACTTGCAATTGTTCCTTACATCAGTATTCTTACAAAATAAAGTCTTTTTTTGCGAAAAATAATGTTCACAAGGCCATGTATTTGCAGCAATAAGCACTTAGTGCAAACCTGCCTATATGAAAAAACAAAAACAAAACAAACAAACAAACAAACAAACAAAAAAATATATATATATGTATATATGGTTACCTTCCAGTGACTAGGCCTCTCCACCAAAGGATTATCCCTTAAATCAAGTTTAGTTAACTTTGCAAGTCCCACTAGAGTCTCATCAGGAAGCTCCCTTATTTGATTATTTCTCAAGCAAATGGTGGATAAGTTCTGAATCTCAGTCAAACATATGGGGACACAGTCAAATTGATTACTGTCCAAATTCAGGTATAACAGCCTTGGGATTTTACCAAAATTACTTGGCAAAGTGCAGAATTGATTTTCTTGCAAGCTCAACCACTGTAATGACTGAAGGTGGTGAAACTCATCTGGCAGGTCACTAATATTGTTACTTCGAAGACTCAGTTTCTCTAATTTTGTTAATAAACCAATATCCTTTGGCAATGCAATTAAACCACATTTGACAGCCCACAGCTGCCGAAGATTTTTTAAATCCCCAATTTCTCCAGGAAGAAAACTGAGAGGGTTGTGGCTTATACTAATATAAGTCAGCTGTTTTAACCTTCCAATTCCAGAGGGCAATACAGTCAATTGGTTGTGATCTAAAATAAGCTCTTGTAAGAGTTCCAGTTCTATAAGTTCTTGTGGGGGCATAATAAGTTTGTTATCATTTAGCAGCAATCTAGTAACATGTTTCAGTGTCTGTATGCTACTTGGCAAAATAGTTAAGCCTCTATGACTGAGATTTATCACTTGTTCCTTTTTCACTTCAGCTTCCCTGATACTGTTTTCAAGCTGTATCAAATCCATATGGTCTGGCGCCCATGGGCAACTTTAGTATCTGCAGAGAAGATAATTAACAGTTACTGAGCATTCTTGTTATTCTTTGATCTCAAGATGAACTGAAAATTAACAGATCAATTGTTAATTCTCTCGTTTTTATGAAAAATAGGCCACAAATATAAAATTAGGGTACTACACTTCTGATACAATGTACCTCTTTCGAAATGAAGCTGCACACAGTGCACATTTATTTTTTCCCAATTTGATCCCATGGGTTTCTAATAATGTCGAAGTGCATTAATGAGAAATGGCATATCTTTCACATAAATTATTCTTAGAAATGCTGCCGTCACAAAACTGCCTATTTTAAGTTATACTGCGTGTCTAACTTACATAATAAACGGGTAATTAAACTGCACTACGTTCAGTACGAAAAAGGAAGGTATTAAGTAATAGTTATGCAGCATAAAAATATATATATAAATTATAAAATTAAATAACAGTTTGATGCTCTGAGTCTTGCAGTTGTACACTACCTCTGTAAAGTTGAAAATTACAGCTCTATGAAAAGTCAGTAAACAATAAAGTCAGTATACATTAAAAGGATTTGATACTCTAATATCCCCAAAAGATGAGTTGATTAACAAAGTCAATACGGGGTACGTTGATGAATAAATCGTTTTGACGTAACTTACACTCTCTGTGTTGATTACTTTGTAGCAGGTTACGTACTCCTTTTGTTGAAGAGCAATTTAGGACTCAAGAGAAGCTACGCGGCGTAGAACACTTAGATGACCGTTTGCTTTCAGTGTCAGTATTTATTTGAAAATATTAACATGAAAAACCAGTTAGCACCGAACTTAATTTAAATCAATAAATTTAAAGCAATAACCTTTATATATTTGGAATATACCATTTGTCATTTTGTTTGGTGCCAAAGTCCTTCACAGACGAACTTTGTTCCAAATGTTGTACGCAATAGTGCATGGACTGGTAATACATATTTTTTTATCAGTATTTAAAAAAAATGGTAGAGATTCCACTAATGCTTCAGGTATACATAAGATTCTTAGAGGTGAAGTGAAAACTCTTAACATATTTGTAATTTTATTTGTAATATTTTAAGTAATTTCATGATTTTTACCAAATACATCCAAGAAAGATTCATTCTAATGCAGTTCTTGAAAATGTTTAATATCCAATTTGTCTTTCAAACAATAAACATTTTTAGTATTATAAATGTACCATCCAATTTTTGGTTACAAATAAATATTATTATAAACTTGGTAAGCTAACAGGTGTTCTCATTGAAAGATTTTATCAAATTATATTATATATATCATGCAATCAATTTACACTTAGTTTACATTCTAGTAATAAATTGAATTTGAAGCTAAAGAATAATATTTTAAATGAAAAAAAAAAAAAAAAAACTAGTAAGTTAACCACATGAAAGTGTCTAGAAAGCACATTTATTGGATAACGAGACAAATATACTTCAGTTTAAAGATGCATATTAAGTCAATTTTTTGCCACAAAAGCCAACCAAATGCCAGCATGTAGTTTCGAGTAGTATAGCTAAGAGAATTACCAAAAGGCATTGTATAATTTTGCCTGAAAATGATGTTTAAACAGATTTTTCTGCTAGCATTCTATGCTGTAGGTCAATGGGGCAGAAAAGTAGGTCACGAAAGTAGGTTAAATTTTTGACCAAAAATTTAAAGAAAGGAGCAGTCTAAAGCTCTTTTATAGCTGATCGAGTGATCTATTCTTTATCCCTTTGCATGTAGAATTTATTTGATTCATATAAAAACTAGTAGAAGTGGATAATATGTGTTAATGGAAATCCACGCTCCAATGATGCTCGGTTCATATGTACCTTTAATTGAGTTATCATCCTTCTATAGGGAAAATGCTTGTGCACAATCAGGCAACAAAGAGTAAACTTCATAACAGTCTTTGAAATATGAAAAAAAATTCAAAAGTAATATCAATATTGTCAAATGTTGGCAAATCAAGCCAAATCCTTGAAATGTACACACGAAAATTGGGTATAGCAGATTGGAATGGCATGCTTTTGGCATTGACATTTTCAAAATAATTCTTCATTCTGTCTATGGTTTGCATCTTTCAATAAACCTTGGATACAAACACACTTCGCGGATATGTGGTCTTTTCAGCATCCAGCACAAGTATCTCTCCAAGCCAAGACCATAGCCACCATGAGGACAGGATCCATATTTCCTCTGAAATACAATAGTAACAGTTAGAAAGCATATGAAAATTGAAAAATTCCAGACTATAACATGTTCATCAAAGTGACAGACTCTCTTGCTTCAGCAGTGTAATGTATCCATTTAATACTTCCCCTTACATCACTTTTTAAAAACTATTAATAAGTTATCTTTCCTTGGTAACCACATGTGTAGCTCAAAATGTGACTCTTAATACATGAACTTACTTGGTCTGTATACCAATAGTATGGTGTGGGGTCAATGCCTTCTCTCTTGTAGCCTTCAAGCAACTCATCATTGTCCCAGATACGCATAGAGCCTCCTATGATCTCCCCCACTCCTGGCATCAACAGATCCACCTTAAACAGGATTCAATTATTAAGGCTTAAAACCTTACTTGTACTCTATTGATAAAACAAAGCCACTGCATCAAAACGTGCCCATATCAATTAGAAATTATAATAAGAATTAAAGTTAGAAAGCCTGACAAAGTTTTTCACACAGGTACCACAACCTTTTTACTCTGATGGCAGTGGGTGTCATATAAGTTGTCTGGCAAGATTTTTTCTCAGCTTTCTCAAACAACAAAACGCATCAAATTCATCCTGACACCCCTGCTTGCGTAAGCATATATCTTAATCCCTTAAAAGGAAAATGTGCTTACAGATTCTGTCAATCTTCTATCTTCTGCACATCTCATCATGTAGAATGATTTAATCTCCACTGGAAAACGACACAGGAAGATTGGTTCGTTAATCTGGTCAGTCATTTTTCTCTCAGGAGCTTCTGGTATATCCTACAAAAAGAAAACTGAAATAAATACTAGGAATCTACCTGATAAAAGTCTTCGCCATCACAAAGGGGAAGGGACTTACCCCACATCCATATAAAATGTTATTGAGATAGGTACTTAGACACAAAAAGACGGAATAAGTAGTAATCTACATCAGTTTGAGCATAAGTAAAGGAATATCTAGCAAAACAGAGAAGATCTTAAAACAGAACAGTAGAGCAAAATACATGCTATAAATAAATATAAACATGGTTTAGTAAGTTGAAATGTTTAATAAATAAATTGATACACAAGTAGGTTAGAGATACTTCTATAATTACCTCTCCAAACTCATAGTAGGTCCCATCATCCTTCTTGATATCATGTTCTTTTAAATATTTGATGGCCTCTGTATAGTCCATACGTCTAAATGGTCTTTTAGGGGGTTTAAAGTCCTTGGAAATGAAATGTCATACATGAACCACAAGCCATGGGGTTAAAATGATAAACTAAGCACCTTATGTATAAAGAGATTGCCAATCAATAAAAAATTAATTCCATTTTTGTAAAATGTTTAATGCACTTAAAATTGCAGTTTTTTAACAAAAAGATTAAGTTATCATAAATGAAAATACAACTTTAAATTGTGGCACAAAATTGCAATATCCTGAATTTCACAACACAATTCCCACTATAAGCAGGCACTCCACTGGGAACTTTTAAAAATGGCAGAGGGAATCCAAGTCAAAATTCAAATTGATATGAAGTCCACAATTTAAAATGAGAATTTTCATGGATCATATGGCAAGACTATTTCATAATGAACAACAAAACTTACAGGAACCAAATCATGCAGCAACTGAGCATGTGGGGATTTCAACACCCTGTCTACCACATCGCATACAAGGTCTTCTAGCCTATCCAGAAGATCATCAAATGTAAGGAAAGCACATTCTGCTTCCACATGGGTGTACCTAAAAGACAATGTATATCTCAGTGACTGAAAACTGAGAAAAGATAACAGATGGTCCTAAAAAGAAAATTAAAATTAAAATGACTAAAATGATTTTTTTGTCTAGCAAACACTTAAAAAAGTGAAATCAGAAGTGGGTGCCTACTCTGCAAGATGTCTCCTCGTACGTGACAGCTCAGCCCTGTAAGATTGTGCTATGCAGAAAACATCTCCCATGGAAGGAAGACAGGTTTCCAAGTACAACTGGGATGATTGTGTCAGGAAAGCCTGCAAACATATTGTACGTTATATGCTACTGAAATCCACAGTGCACAGTTAACATAAATCTATTATGTTCACATTGGTAAAAATGCCATCTAACTTTCAAAATTTCTTTGCTTTCTTTGGTTTGAACTTATGTTTTTCTACATTCTTTCATGATACATCCAACAATTACAAATGAGGAAAAAAATGACAATACCTCTTCTCCAAAGTAATCAAACTTGAAAAGTGTAGAACCTCCTTCTACTTGAGTTTGAACCAGTGTTGGTGGCGTGACCTGTGACATTTATAACAACATTTTGAGTCAAAAGAGGGATAATATTAACAATAGTTCCCAGACTTTTTAATCGTCAGACTAAAACTATTACTAGATGTGATCAATACCCACCCATCTCAACACTATTTTATCCAAAGGAAATGGAAAAAAATGAAAAAGATTTTAGCAATAGGTAATCACATCCATAAAGACCCTGATGCATAACTACATTTTAAAGTCCTTAAGTAAAGTATCGCAGAAACTGAATGAAGACTGTAGGAGGTGGAGAGAAAACTTGCATGATGGTTAAGTGCCAAGTAGTTCAATTTTCATAAAATGAAAAGAAAAATGCATCATGAAGCAAAACTGTAAGAATTTCATAAGTGCAATGTTGTGGTTGAACCTCACTGAGAACTTGAAGATGAGGCTGCTGTAATATTACCTAACATTTTGTCAAGGAATAAATGAATAACAGCCATATTTTGGTTCCCCTGCTTTTAGTAAACTTACCTCATAATAACCTCGACTAAAGAAATGTTCCCTAAAGCACTGCATAACCACAGAGCGCATTTTCAAAATTTTTGACGTCTGAAAAATAAGCCAAATAGCTGATTATCTAACTCAGTCATAAGTCTCAGGTTGTCATATAAGAACACTTAAAGTGAAGCATTAAGTTAATGAGACTTTGACTTATTATATCACAGTGCTGTAATATAAAACTATTCACAAAAAGAGCTTTTGACAAAAAAAAAAAAATTGGTATCATTTCTATAACTTACATTTTCACCTCTGATCATCATGTGCCTGTTGTCCAGTTGTACATCCACACTAGATTCCTACAGAGAATAATAAAAATATGAGAGCTGGTCATCATTTCTACACCATCTGCACATCGAATTTGAACTAAATTTTTTAAAAATTCAAATTACACATTGGATTTGACATCAGCTATGATGCGAGAGGTATAGATTCAGTTTTGAGGCTGAGTCAAAAAAGATTATATTCAATTTAACACTAACCACTGCCTGGTTACTAATTAAGCACTTCATTGGTCAAAACAGCGAATGGGAGGTAGGGTTAGTGTACTTGATAATGAAGGCATTACTAACTGACAAAGCTGACAATGTTTAATCATGACACTCTTCATGTTTGGCACCTTGGGATGAAGGTTGCTATGACAAGAATAAATATTCTTAAATATAAAAAACCTCATTCAGCAGGTTATCTGCTCCACCAGGGGGTGCTGCACTGACAAGCTCCCAGTAGTCCACATGTAGCTCATGTCCATCTGGTGCCTAAATAACAAACACAGAGAAACGGAGCATACACCAACTGTCCATCAGTTCCTATTAATGTGCACCAAAATCATTAGATCGGTTTCTTTTAAATTTAAAATTTACTGAATTTGCAATCATAATTGATTTTAATATAAACATTGAATGGATATATAAAAGATTAAATCAAATGACTTTATTCCTATTACTAATTAACTTGTGACCCACCATTTTGCCTTCTGGCACTTCCTTAATGACGCCATACAGATGAACAGTGGATTCAGTGGATAAAGTAAGGGCATCATATGTTTGACACTGAAAGGAAAATTTCAAGATATTAGAGAGCATGAACATCGAAATTCTCAAAATTTTCTCAGATTTATGGCACCTCTTAGACAAAAATAAGAAAATTAGACTGAATTTTCTTGAAGATCATAATTTAATATACTTACCAGTTTATCTGTCAACACACTTTGCAAAAAGCCAGTACCATCTCTTAAAATGATGAACATCAAAGTTTTACCTGAAATACATATCAACAAAAAATCACAAACAACTTGATGATTAAAAATATCTTTGTGGAAGGAGGATATACAACTGATGTGAATAGAAAACATGCTCATACTAACTTGAAATTAACTTTTGATGAAGCTGTATACTGTTTTTTCTCTCATCAAAACAAGACCTATCAATTATTTTCCCATGGTCCTCGATACAATTCTGTTACTAACTAGTACAAGGCCCAAATAAAACTTTCATAACTATAACATGTAAGTAATACCTCTTTCATTTGATTTGAAAATGGCATGTATAATTTAGTTTACCTTGCCTCCTCAATCTATGGACCCAGCCACTTATTTTCACTCTTTGGTCTCGATGAGTAACTGCATCACGGATTTTAATCTAAAAGTGAAAGTATCAAAAAATATGATAAATTAAATTAAATTAAATTTTTGGTATTCTAACTCTAAAAATTTCACCTGAACATCCTTTACAAAGAAAGAGCATCATAAGTCAAAGCATTAATTATTAAATTCAAGTATACTACATAAAATTTATATAAATTTACTTTATAAAAAACATCAAATGCTCAATACTTACCAGTTTTGCAACTGGCAAAGTTTTGTCTTCTTCTATGGTAACCTGACGTGCTTCCTCCAAATTCTTCTCTCTTCTTTCAGCATCTTCTGCCTAAATGGACAAAGCATATTCTAAAAGCACAGGAAAATCCCAACACTCATTCTCACAAGACGTAATCAATACTGCTGTGCAGAATTTCTACAGAATATTAGTTTTTCAGAAGATCTCTTACTATATTTACTCATAGATCTTGTATGTTTCATCTCTGTTCAAAGTACTCGTTTATAAAAATGAGGTATGCCATAAGTTCTTCCTATCTTCCTTTTTCCTACTTATATTAAGACTACATGAAATTTCGATTTTGACCTCTCTCTCTAATCTATCAGCTGCCTTAAATTGTTCCCTTTGCCAGATTTTCTGCTGTTTCTTCAACTGAGCCTTGGCTGCAACTTCCCAAACCTAAGGGAGATAATAATAATAATAATTTGCAACTAAAAGTTGGACTGTACACAAGCAATAAGAGTCTACAAGTATGATAGAAGTTATTAAAACAAATTATGAAATTGTTCACTAAAACATAAAAGAATCCATTAAAACAAATTATGAAATTGTTCACTAAAACATAAAAGAATCCATTAGAATGGTTCATTACAATTTAGTTTAGATCTAAAAATGAGCTGGTCTATGCAGATCTAGCAGTCTGAATTTTGCCTTAGGGCATAGAGTGTTCCTGCACTTTTGGCAATAAGTGGTTCAGAGTACCTCCTTTCGTACACATGCTATGAATATTTTACAACATAACAGATGGATAAGAGTAATTTCTGGATAAAATATCTTGAACTAATATTTTTAATTGACCTGGCACAACTTCTTCACAACCTTTTATTTTATGGAATTATACCCCATTTCATAACTGCTAATGAAGTTACAATATAATACCTGTCCTTCTTCTTTGGAATCAACATAAATAGTTGGAAATGGCTCCTTTCCTGCATGACGCATAGCCTGCAATAACAGTTGCAAATTAAAATGCAAAAATTTGTGTTATAATTATTTATAAAGGCAGGGATTACTCTACTCTTGTCAACATGGCATCAGCAGATCATCAAAATGCATGCAAAATCCCNGTGCCACCTTTATGGACACTTTTAGGATATAGCGACACTACAATAGAAGAATGACAATGTTACCAAAATAGAAATCTGTAAATAAAGTACTTTCAGGACGCAAATGTGTCTATATGTGACTGATACATTTTCATTGTCAAATCATTTGTTGAAACTTATTACTGACAACTGAACAACAAAAAAAAAAGTCTAACCTCATATGCTGCACAGGATTTCACAGGATACAAGAAGATACGTTTCAGAATCTTGTTGGGTCCATCTTCTCCATCTGAGAAATCTGGAACTGCCTCTACCCTGGAACTGTTCCTTTCAGAAATAGCCAGTAATACTGGGTCAGGGGAAGAGGACTCATTTTTTGTCCTTTCTGTCTGCTCCGTATCGGTGGATAATTGCAGAGTCATTTCCATGCAACCCAACACAGGTACCTCAAGCTGTCTGTCTTCAACACCACTCTTGGTTGCCAATAAGTCCTTCTCATTTTCCCCAGTGGACAGGCTAGTGTTAGATTGCACTTTGTCATTTACAATAAAGTCCTGTAAAGGGGAACTTGACCTAAAAGATGCATTTGTATATTCCAGTGCAGTAGAATTTGACCCTGCTTGCTGTAAAGGCTGACTTTTGGGTATTTCCTCAGAAAAGACTAGAGATTTTGTTTTATCAATTGGTTTATCACAGAGAAATGACTGATCGTTATTTTGTCCCAATACTTTTTGTTTACCCGCATAGAGCCTATCACAATCAGATGTAGCACCAATTACTGAAGATTCATTTTGATTGTTAAGTGAAGGGGTGAATTCTGCTGGTGGGAGATCCCCGTTTTGGCTGGGATTGCTATTATTTCGTAACATCCCTTGATGGCCACTTCCACAATTTATTGGCACCATTTGTGGTTCAGCCTCAACAAAGCAATTTTCGATGAAGTCCAGGAATTTTCTTGCATCACGAAATGTTGACATGTACCCAAAAGAGATCCGAACACTTCCTGTAGGGACTCCATTGATTAGATCTTTGTCATCCCCACACACATGACCAGACTAAAAAGCAAAACATTTGTTTTTAACATTATAAGTTGAATTGAGAAAGTAGAATTTGTTTCAAATAACTTTAAACCAGTGTACATATTTCAAATATACATGCATGATTGATTCTCTTTATGTTAAAAAAAAAAATTTTTGACAGGGCCTCAACTTGAGTAACTTCATCACAATGAATATGAATACGAATTAAATTAATAAAGTTTTTTTTTTTTAAATAAATGCCAAACACAAAAATAAATTCAATATCAGCTATGGACAGGTTAGTATGGTGTCGGTCCTGCTAGCACCAATACTAGGATAATAACACGCTCACCTGGTAATTGTCCTTTATTTGAGCAGATGTCAGGTTCAGGTAGTACTGACAAGCACCAATGTTACAGAAACAGCCTGTTCTGATCTCTATGTTATACAGCTGAGCCATTTTATTAACCTGAAAAATGACGTAGTGCTATCATTTTTATGTCAATTCATTTCAATTTCATTTCTTTAAATATTATGTTTTTCAAAATTCTTATGATAATCAAAATCAATACAGCAATGTCAAACAAACTCAAAATTTTGATTAGAATAGACAGCCATTTTTAGGATATAAACGGCAGTAAAAAGGATGTCGTACCTCGGCAAATCCCACATAGTCACCATTAGCTCGGAGGAGATTGAAATTAACAATCCCACCCTGTGCGTCGATATCTTCATAGTCCATGTCTGAGTAGAGCTTGGCAACTGGGGTCCCGTTGCCATGGCGATAGGAGACAAGACGGTGGTGGACGTACCTAGCCAGAGAGAAGACGTGACTGGACACTACGTCCATTCCACCTGGAACCATGGAACAGAATGGGTATGAATTATCTTTTCACTCCTCTTTCTCCTTTTTCAGAACAAAATGATGGATTCTGCCCCCCCACCTCTCCTCCACCCCACCCCCACAAAAAGCAGAAAAAAATGATCAGAGGCCCATGCATACAAACACTGCAAAGTGTCCCAAATCACAGCACATTTTTAACAAACATAACTTCAGAGGGAGAGGAGGAATTTGGAAAATCTTTTTACCCACTCATCTTGATGTTTCGGATACTCCAGTGCTCTCAGTAATGATGGGTAAATGACCATATAATGGTAAAGTATGTACCTGTTAGTTTATCTAAGGCATCAAATCCATGTCTTAGGGCTATAATATCCAGGAATGGGACAGTGCCATCTTCAAATCTAGAAAACAAGAAAGTAATCAGAGTTATACAAGTTAATTCTTCTGACATATTCTTGCTATCAGATGCAAATTTAAGGCCGTTAAAGGGATAATATTAAATGAATTTTCCTGGAGTAAACAACAATTTTCCCATACTTACCAATGGTTAATTAACCCATTTTTACATTCAAAGTTAGTCCCTGGTTTTTTTTTCTGAAAAGTTTTTTTTTTTTTTTGATAGAATCTCTTAAGAGATTATAACAGAGTATAGCCATCAATAGAGGTCACATGGTCTACAAACAAGCTCAGATATCAGAATAATAGCTATAACTGCTGTTTTTGAGGTAAAACAGAAGATATTATATTTCTATGATTTGTTCATAATGTTTTTATTGTGAAATATAGATCTCATACGAAGAGTTATTATCCCTGTAAGCTTACTCATACAACTGCTATATATTAAGGAGTTAATGAGGATATTCTAAATACCAAGTAATCCAACTTTATTTCGCCCAAGAAATTGACAATTTACCGTTTTCAGTTTAAGTGTACTGGTTTTAATTTACCAGTGTGCATACAAATATGGGTTTCTATGACTATCATTATAACAAATATACTGCATTGCCATCACACCTAACACAATCTCAACATTAGACCACATTTTCCTCCTCACCCAGCATTTCCTAACTTACAGTATTTACCTACAAAATTATCCCTTCTCATTTCTTCCTGTCATTTAATTTTTCTAAATTATTCATTATTTATGCCACCCTTTTAGTGATGGGTATTTCTGACTTAAACCAATTAACTATTTGGACGTTTTACAAAATTTTAATTATTACAACATTATTATAATGATTATGTAACATTTTTATTGCTTCTCTTCTTAAATGGAATTGTAATGAAAATCTAAAATATCTGTTCAATCTGGAAAATCTATAAGTCCCAATCAACTATATTAAAAGGAATTTTACAATGTTCAAAGTACAACCCATTCACAGGGTAACTTATATTGTAAAACTGATTGTAATTGACAAGAACAAGCATGTTTTATTCTGAAACAAGATGTAAGGTCAAAGTTTCCTCTCTCTTATTATACGAGTCAGTTAGGATACTGATGAGAGGGCAGGCAGAAAGACTTGTCAGACAAAACAAGAAAAAAATATACAAAACAATTCAATGAGAAAAAAAATGAAAGAAAAAATGTAATTAGGAACTTGTAAACTGGTACTTTGACAATTACTGTCTGCTCTCCTTTTTTTGCTGTTTTCCAATCTTTTCTTTAGTTTCAACTGTTTTAACAAGTAAAAAAAATTGAGGAGTTACAACGTAGAATAAGAACCTCTACAAATTCCTCACACCAGTCCTCTGTCTGGAGAAGTGAACAGACGCTGGTCATGTTACTGTTACACTGGTAGACATTGTTTAGGGAGAAAACTGGTTTAGGTTGTCTTCCACAATGATAATTTAAAACTACAATTCTGAAGTATCTTTATTAGTCTACTCATCCCTATGTATCATATACTGATCACAAACAGTCATTCTATACAAGTGTTTTAGGAATTATTGCACATACAGTTCAGATAATGTGCTAACTTTTTCCTATTAACTTTGTGGCCTCACAAGGAAGACATTACCTACATTATCATTTTACAAGTACAGTAAGGGATAAAGATGAAAAGTAATATTAATATAAAAAATGTGTTACCAACCTTTGAGCTAGATCAGGGCTGCTGGCATGTGTTCTCTCTCCAGGCAGACTCATAGCCACTGTACCGCCACCAAAATATCTCTTGTCCAGGGTGTGGGCAGATGTGTTCTTAACCAGGAGAGCACCTGTTGGCAATAATAATAATAATAATAATAATAATACTTTTTAAATCATGACTGCGTTAATTCTGTAAACAACTTTAATTCTTAATAATTTAGTAAGCACATGAATGTTTTTACATTTATAGGCTTTCTATATAAAAAATACAGTATACGACATACATTATAAAAAGATACAAATATTAAATGGATAAGACCCCCTTTTAATACTTAATATGCCAACTTTAAACTGATTACTCATTATCTTCAAAATTAAACTTCATTTGCATCAGATTTTTAATTCTTTTTTGCTAAAAGTTCAATAGATCTTCACAGATTCATGAATTGTGAAATGTAGAAAAATTTCAGGTTATCAAATTAATTGAAATATCTTCTTTTAATACTTTTATGTAGTAAGTACACAAAAGAAGGGAAAATAACTTACAGATTATAAAGGCAGTTGTTATTATGAAGAACAAACAAACAAACAAACAAACATGCTCCAATTATCTGGATTCCCCTGTACATGAAGCGTACCACTTTTTTATGGGAGAAATATTCATCACCATTACAGCATTAATTGTTTGTGACTGGTTTTTCAGTTGCACTTCTGAACCAATAATGCTTTCAATATGTTTTGCCCGGGTATTGCACTGAAGCATTCGAAAACAAGGAAGCCTATAGTATACAGATACTATGTAATAATTGACCGGGTCAGTTTGGTGACAGCAACTCTCTGCCAGTGAAGACCCACTGAGAAGAGCATGTGTTATGCCCCTATTTCACACAGACCACGAATCCCACGAATGGCCATGAATTGACAAATTTTACGATTCGTGGTTGAATCGTAATCAGTTCGTGAAGTTCTTAACAGATTCGTATATATTCGTAGTCAGTTCTTGCACTTCTTGACCAACAGGAATTGGTGGCAAAAACTTTGATGCCCCTATTTCACACAGACCACGAATCCGACGAATCGCCAGGAATTGAAAATTTCAGGATTCGTGGTTGAATCGTAATCAGTTCGTGAAGTTCTTAACAGATTCGTATATAATCGTAGTCAGTTCTTGCAATTCTTGATCAATCGGGAATTCGTGGCAAAAATTTTGAGCTGTTCAAAGTTTTGGCCACAAACTCACGATTCCAAATAATCGTAGTGAATTTCTGGACAATATTCATGCGATTCCAGCCGAATCCCACGAATATTTGTAACACTATCGCACCTGTATCGTAACTGTTTCGTAGAGCATGTCGAATTAGACCAGAAAATTGGCAAAATCTCACGACTCTAGCCGAATCCCACGAATATTCGTAACACTATCGCACCTGTATCGTAACTGAATAGTGAGCATGTCGAATTAGACCAGAAAATTGGCAAAATCTCACGAATCCTGAAATTTGTCAATTCCTGGCGATTCGTGGGATTCGTGGTCTGTGTGAAATAGGGGCCTTAAGGGGTAACGGGCATGACATTTCAAATTCCTACCTTTAACACCCTAAGTTTCTCAGTATATTGCCTATCTCCACCACACTTGGTTTCCCAGTATATTGCCTGGCTCTACCCCACTTGGTTTCCCAGTATATTGCCTATCTCTACCACACTTGGTTTCCCAGTATATTGCCTATCTCTACCATGCTTGGTTTCCCAGTATGCTGTATATCCCTACCACATTAGGTTTCCCAGTACATTTCCCATATCCACGTCCCTGGGTTTCAGTCTACTCCCCAGCCCTACCATACAAGAGCATCTAATGCTTATATATATATATATATATATATATATATATATATATATATATATATATATATATATATATATATATATATAATACTTTCATAAATTCTTTATGTGGCATGAATTAAAAGACACAAACCTGTCAATGAAAGAAAATATCTACTATATAAGATGTTTGTTTCAGATTAAATTGCAACACAGGTGAGAGAGACATTCCCAGCCACATGCCCAACTCTACTGCCACATGTGCTCTTAAAGAAAACCCATAAAAATTTATTATAAACTTTACCAATGAATAGTAAATTACAAAATCAATTAATGTACACTACAACATACATTTTAGTACAAGTTTGCTTTGAAGAAACCAAGTTTACTCTTTTGACTTCACATAGGTGAATTAACAGTCCATTTATACTGGTTTAATTTAACACCGTATCTTAGAAAACCAAATTATTACAAAGTTTATCTAAATTCAGGCAGCCCGTCTTTTCCCTTTAATGTCCTAACCCTAAATGAATTTTTCGTATTACACAGATTGATCCAACTCCCTGGGGACTTTCACTGAAAGCAATCAGATTTCAGATTAAAAGATAAAGAAGCCTTCTCTTGTTTCTAACGTATTCGCATTTTCACCAGCTTTTCTTTATTCTACTCACATTCAGTGGGACCTCACATGGGGACAGGCCCAGCACATAGCCAGAGGTAGGGCCAAGTGGAAAGAAGTGACTGTGGCCTTATGTCCCACACGGGATGAAGAGGAAAGATGATGATGATGATGACTCACATTCAGTAGGAGACACATGAATGTGTTCATCTGATTGCAATCAGTGAGAGTCCCCACAGAGTTAGATTGATCTAGGTGGAACAAATGTTTCATTGGGAATAAGCCTCAAGGTACCAAGCTACACCTAGCGCTGTGTCTACGGATACGAATGGCTAATAACAAAAGGTTGCAATCAAGATCTGCTGAGAAATATTTGTTCTAAGACAGGCTGTCACAACTGCACAATAAACAAGCCCTGTGTGAAAACAAATTCTTGCACAGAATGACTTTCAACTTTCTGTAATTGAAACGTACCTGCAGAGCAATTACAATGTCATAAAAAACATATACACACACGTGTTGGGTTCACTTCCTCTTGAGTAAAAATGTCAGATGTAATTTTAGAAACTTGTTGACATTATCCAGTTTGCAGACACACTTAATTTTTTTTAACGTTAAAATATACAAATGATATTCCTGTTATATCAGCATGAAGTTCAGTTAATAAACATGCAATCCTTTTAAGATGATATACCATGTTATCAAAATACTCTCTTGTCAAAATGGGCAGTGATTGAAAACTAGTTAACTGTACATGGGAGTGCACATAACACCACCTAATGGGCATATACCACCATCTTTACGTAGCAGAACCCTATCTACAATACATTAAAACACCCCAACTACTTTGCTAAACCAGAACGATGGCAAGAGTCTGTGACATAATGCCCTGGAAAGCCCAAAGCAGACAGTCAACACAAAACAACGACAAGTTACAGTAAAAACATGAAAATTTAGTTGATCTTGAAATTTTTGTTGGAAGACGATTCTCTGCTGGCATTATTTTTTCACTTTGAAAATTTTATCAAACTTGAAAATGGGCCTCTTGATAATTTTGAAAGGTTTGTCAACTAATATGGTCATGTCAAATTCAAGCATTTTAAAATATGAATTAATTTCTAAGTGATGAAATTTTCAAGTTTTTACCCAAGTTCATTGCCCTGGGCAACCCTCCATGAAAGTGTTCAACAGGACTAAATATAGAGACAGACAGATGAACAGATGATATATAGCAACAACCTAACAGTATTAGAACTGGTTATTTGTAATGAAGCTGATTAATTTCCCACTCGAACTGAATAAAATCCTTTCACATCACTCCTAGTATTAAAACAAACTACATATGAAAGCATTCTGTGGCAATTTGCACTAATGACTTGCCTTTGTATCTAGGGCAATCCTCTTTTGATCACTCTCTATAATAGTGCAGTTGTTGACAGAGAAAAAACTGATACACAAAGGTGCATTTGGACTTTTTTCTCTTTTTTTTTGTGGGGGAGGGGGGGGAGTTAGCAGGTGATGAGGTAGACAGGGGCTTATTGATATTCTGGAGCAGCCACTACATCTCATATCAACATGGCTTCCTTCTTGTTACACATAGATATCTTACCTATACCAGTAGGAAAGCCAAATATTTTGTAAAATGACAAGGTGACAAAATCAGGGCTGTGTAGTTGGAGGTCTAACTTGGAAGTGCTCACAAATGAGGCTGCATCTAAAACAGTGAACCAGTTGCCAGGGTGGTGTTCTGTCAGTTCTAATTCACCATTCTTTATTTTATCCAACCACACTAACGGATACTTCCTCCCTGAAAAGTTACACTGGGCAGGGTATGCAAATAAACAGTTGGGTGCATTCCTTTGAGTAGTCACGGTGACAGTTTTATGAGCAGACATGTTGCCATTTTGGAATGTTTTACTAGCCGGCTTCAAAAGTTCCTTCTCACTGACACACAAGAGATGTGCCCCTCGCTCTGCAACAATCTCCCGCATTCCTATGACGGAGGTGTGATTTTGGGCAAGATAGCAGAAACAGCCCCACTGGGTCACCCCGAAATCTGCTGTTGCATGCTGGGATAGATTCATAACCTGATCCCCAGGTGTACCCCGAGAGTCTGAGTTCATAACACCTTGGGACACCTGTTCATTTGATACCTTATCTTCGCTAATAATCCTTGACTTTCCAGGTATGCCTACCCCATGTTGTGAGGATGTCTGCAGCAAAATGGACTTGCTGCTTCTTTCTAATGAACAAGTGCTTGTGACCTTTTGGCACTCTTCCCCGGAAATTGGCATTGCCTCAGTTCTAATGGGGTTTTCAACTAGTTTGATATCGCTCATGGTTGGTTCAAGAGCTACAGTTTCCTCCGGCTCTTCATTAAAAGTCTGTCTGGATTCTGAGCTACCCTCCCTCAAAATACTGACTTTTGATTCAAGATCTACCGCATGGCTCTGATCAGAGTTTACATTAGGTAGCAAATCTGAGGACTCCAATTTACAATCAATATTTCTTTCTGGGCCTGAGTAAATCAAATCAGATAATTCAAGTTTCCTGTTATAACTCTGATCTGTAGTGGAGATGGTGCTTGGTATCTCACACCTGTGCGTAGGGCCCTCTTTCGGCTTTGATATGGTCTTGTCATCACTGCGTAATTCATCACTGGCGCCAGAGGTATTACAGCCATCACTTTGAACATGCTGAGAACAAGTATAACCAGCGCAAACAGACGGCTTCTTTACAATCCCGCTCTTGACCAGAGAGGCTTTTTGATTGGTCATATCCTGTTGAGAATCTTGGAGGTCGTCTGTCAAGAAAATGTTGGTATCTCCATCTTGACCTCTATCTTCATGAGGCCTCAATAAACTTGGTACTTCTGTCAGACCAGAAGCCCTGTGTTGCCATGGTGATGCATCCTCCCTTACTATGTGAAGCTTGGTATTCTTCATGTTTTCAGGAAATCTCCTCTCAGACGCAGGTTGGCCAGCATTAGGCTTCTTGATGCCTGCTGCGCTTGACTGGCATCGACTTGATACGGTAGCCTGGCAGACGCCATTTGTAAAATCAAACGTTTCGCTGAGTAGTTTGAGTGCAGCTGTGCAGCCAGGTGTGAAAATCACGCTGTATTCATTGGAATTGGTGTTGAAAAAATCCAAAACTCTGAAAATACATTAATAAAGCTTTAGTGTGACAAGGAAAATATGCTGGCCGTCATTTGAAAATATGCATAAGCTATATAAATAAACTGTTGGTAATTTGAAGTTGTATTCTTAATAGTTAAAAAATCACAAAAAAACACCCTCAAAAATTGGTGTTTTAAAGAAAATTAAACTGTACAAAAATACCAAAAATTGTTAACAACAGCACCACTAATGATTGTGAGGATTCACGCAAACCGGTAACAAACTGAATAGAATGACATCACTAGCTGACCAGATAGCAAGTTGAGGGTTTCACAGGATAACTGTATGACCATGTCTACTTCCAATCTCAGTAACTTATGTATGGAACTCTCAGAAGCTACATATTGTGGTGCCATCTTGTGCAAAACACACTACCAATATTAATCACAGACACCAATTAATAATTATTGTGTCAACAGACAGGCTTTTCTCAATTTGCGTGAAGTGAGAGCTACATTGTAGTGATGAGGTTGAAGCTGTATACGCTTTGAAATGTATGTCTTATAAAGCAATGCAAAGGTGACACTCTACAAATATCATAAATTCATAGGGTTGTGAACATAAGAGAAAAACAACCAGAAAAATGTATGTTGAAAAAATTCCCCATCTCTTAGTCATTGTTGCACTGCACTAGCCAGTTTACCAAATTATATTTGACCCCACTCTCCTCCAAATTCAACAAAATCTCGCTTGATTTTAAACTATATAAGTCATGAGACTGGGTTACCTCTAGTGATCCCCATTCATAATGACACAATTACCTAACTTTCCATATAGTTTGCAATAGATTTAGCTACCACAAAATGAACTTTAGTGTTAAAATGCCAAGGATTAACACTGCACCCAAGTTAAAGCAGGGCAAGAAAAAATAGCATTCCATTTTAGATGTATGTTATACAATAAGTAGTCTTTGTTGTATAACAAACACAGGCTTTGTTTTTTTCGAAACAAAGAATAGAGATAGAACCTGTTATAATATATTGTACCTGCTAGTACGTGCTGAGTGACAAAGTGCAACTGTCAGTGAAACTACACATACCGTGAAGCACTAAGCAGGTAAAATGTTTCTTTTCATTACTGACACTTTGTACACATTTGATACTATCACCTTGAATAGAGACACAGATTTCTTCAACTGATACCCGAGTGAACAAAATATCTGATTGAAGTCTGACCACTTGCTAACTAAAGATTATCATATCACAAACATACATACGCACACACACACACACACACACACACAGAGAGAGAGAGAGAGAGAGAGAGAGAGAGAGAGAGAGAAAGGGGGGGAGAGAGAAAGAGGGGCCATAACTTTGAATGTCAGAAAAGATTCATCAACCATTGGTCAGTATGTGGAAATTAACATTTACCAAAAGAAAACCCCATTTTTTGGCCAAAATGAACAGTTGTTATCCCTTGAATAAGTACAACCTGCAAGTTTACACTTAAATGCGACTGCAATATATATTTTGTTGTACATTTCTATGAGACAGATTTGGTGTAAGGTCAATCAAAACAGCAGTTAATACCTCATGCAAAACAGTTCCCTACTATTTTGGTAAAGAATTGTGCCCCCTTTTTTAGGTCTTTTGTTGAAAACCCAACATATCAGAGCAGTGCATGGCTGGACAGCTTTGATGGCTGAATTTGTCAAGTATATATTTAGAACTCTTTTCTGAAAAGAAGTGTTGAGATTGAAGAACAAGGCATTTTTCTTACTTACGGGGATATGTTTGAATGAGTTATAAAGAGAAGCCTGCTTTGTAGCTCAGGAGTGTTGGCAGACGGCAAAATTGATTACAAAAGGTTTGTTGTCTGAGCTGAACAATTTGTAATCCTGTCCTCAGTGCAGACTCTTTAGGGTCTGTCTAGGTCAGGACAACTTCAACTTGGCCACTAAGAATGCAGGGAAAGAGGAAATGTTTCTTTTTTTTCTTTTTTATCACCCTCCCTCCTATAACATAAACTGTTGAAATAAAATGAGTGTGAATTATGGACTTTTGGCAATACTGAATATACAAAAACATACTGTTAAGGGCTTCATAGTCTTTTTTCTTTCTTTTGGGTTCATTAGAAACCTCTGCATCACTTGTAACTGTACCAAAAATTGGCCAAATAGGGATAGGACACTAGTACTAAGAGAGACTGCTCAACCAGCTCTTTCACTAAAATGAAAACTTTCTTATTGTGGAACTTAAATGGTCCAAATTAAAACTGTCCAAAAACAAAGAAAGAATGACCCCTCATGATACCACTGCCTATTCTATATGTGCACAAGCAACCACCAGTCTTTCAAGTGACAGTTCAGAAAAGGGGTCCCTCCTTGATAAGATCAAGAAAGAAAGCAACCAGCCCAGGTAGTCAAATCCCTTGTAATCTATTTTATCATCTGAGGACATATTTCATCCACAAACCTACTAAACTTTTTAGGTCAATGAAATATAGTCCTAAGGGCTTATGATCTCGAAATCTCAAATCTTAAACTTCTTTTGTTCAAAATATTGTCTTGACAAATAGAGCCATCAAAAGTGTCCAGCCAGTGGCTGACATGACGCACCTCCAAGTGCAGATGAAGGTGACAGAAATCGCCTGACAGACATCATAATATGTAGAGTAGTGTGAAGTATGAGGATCCACCATTACAATGATAACTTCCATCCATTAGACAAATTAGAATGACACTCTTTTCAGTGCCATGTGTTCTACTGTAGAGAATTCTAGTAGTTTTACCCAGCACTAAACTGATTTCATTTTTAGCAGA